GCGAGTGAGGGTAGGGTGCAACCGCTCTCAGAGGGTCGCGGGGGAACGCCATGCGGCTGCTTTGCCGGAAAAACAACGCAAGTCCCGCTTGGCGATTTTCTTTCTCTCTCGCACTTATACGCGAGACGCTTGGTTTTTTTCTGTCTCTCTCGCTCACTTAGGCGAGTTGCCAGGCTGTTTTCTGTCACTCTCGCTCACCCAAGCGAGTAAGGGTGCAACCGCTCTCAGAGGGTCGCGGGGGAACGCCATGCGGCTTTGCCGGAAAAACAACGCAACTGCCGCTTGGCGATTTTCTTTCTCTCTCGCACTTTTACGCGAGACGCTTGATTATTTTCTATCTCTCTCGCACACTAAGGCGAGCTGCCTGGCTGTTTTCTGTCTCTCTCGCACACCCAGGTGAGTGAGGGTAGGGTGCAACCGCTCTCAGAGGGTCGCGGGGGAACGCCATGCGGCTGCTTTGCCGGAAAAACAACGCAAGTCCCGCTTGGCGATTTTTTTTCTCTCTCGCACTTATACGCGAGACGCTTGGCTATTTTCTATTTCTCTCGCACACTTAGGCGAGTTGCCTGGCTGTTTTCTGTCCCTCTCGCATACCCAAGCGAGAGAACATTGCATGGAATAACATACTAGAGAGGTACTATCGTGGAGCATTGTAGCGTTAGTTCACCGCACCCTCTGCCAGGTTCGCTGCGAGCGCGCGGTAACGGTTTTTATCACAGGTTTCAATAGGGAGGTTTGGAGTCCTTATTTATTCTCTTGGTCCATGTCCCTGCTTCCCTGCTATTTATTCTCTTTGTCCATGTCCCTGTTTTCGGCATTGTTTTTGTTTACCTTTCTTTCCTTTGCTCTGTCAGTTTGTGATTTTCTCTCGCAAGTCTAAAATTAAATGAAAATTTTGAAAATAATTTTTGAGAATCGGCACTAATGCAACTGGACTAATTTATGGTAGGTAAATTGAGTTGACCTCCTCACTTTCAATCGCTTTTTTTCGCTTAGTTAGACTCATGTCCAATGAGGTTTTGGTAGATTTCGATGGAACTTATCATATTTATATCATCTCAGTTGTCCTGAATGGAACTCCATCTCCATCTGACTCTCAAACTTTATAAAACAGCTAGGGATGTCGATACTTATCCGATACTTGCAAAGTATCGATACTTTTGATCGATACTTAACGATACTCGGCATCGATACTCCACGATATCGATACCATGCAGTATCGATGCCAAGACCCCAGTATCGACGGTATCGATACTTAGTCTGATTTGGCCATGAAAAAGGCCTCTTTTTCTTTTTTAAAAAACTCTCTCCCCACTATTTCACCTCCCTGATGCACTGTGACAAACGACGGAGTAATCAAGTTTCTCAAGATGATTATACTTCAATGAAAATGTTAAAAGCTCAGTTCGATAACTGTAGTTAAGGGCTCAAAATAGTTGACCAAGGACGCGAACAGGGCTTATTCGAGAGAGGCGTAAATCTGGCGGAATTTAACGGCCGACAGACATACGCACACTCAGAATCACGGCATAATTTAGAAATAGTATCGATGGTATCGATACCTCATAAGTATCGATACTTCAGCTCGATGCTCGATACTGGTATCGATGCTTAGAGTCGATACCAGTATCGATACCGAGTATCGATACTTCCCTGAGTATCGACATCCCTAAAAACAGCTATTGACCGTGGTGTCTCAAAATTTCCATTCCCTTTGTAGGATTTGAGGTGATTTGTCAAGCTCCAAAGAAGTGGTCGAACTGGCATGTGATAAATTGCATTGATTAAGTCAAAAATCTTGGCAGATTTTGAATTTTTAGCGAAAAAAAGGAAGATAGCCCTGCGCTTAAGCCTGAAGAATCATTCTAAACCCAAAAATTGGCAAAATTCAGAGAAATGAAAGCTGAATACATAGTATTAGGAAAAAATCCTCGTATTCGATTCAGCTATCAATTTCTGTATTGAATGGGAGGTTTTTTTCTTTACACTGCTTTCCTTTCTCTGAATTTTGCCGATTTTTGAGTTTAGAATGATTTTTTAGGCCTATCCAGAGGGGCTCTTGTCCTTGGTTTTGCTCAAAATTCAAAATCTGGCGAGATTTTTGACCTTATCGGTGCGATATATTGCAAGCCAGTTTGTCCAGGTTACTTGAGCTTGACGAATCACCTTAAGTAAAGTAAAATGTGACTAGAAATGTGCAACATTGCCAACCGAGATATTTTTTGGTAGTTTCATCAGTAAGTAATATGTAGTTTTGTTCGTGCATCTTCTGCTACTAGCGTAACTATTGCATGTTTTTTTGTGGCAGAGCATAACGATTCAAAGAGTATTTATGCCTGTACTACCTACAGGTAGATATTTGCTCCAGATTAGTTTTTTTTTTTTTGTAAATTAACAATTGAACCAATTTACATACACATTTCTAGACTGCTTTAGTCTTTGCAAATTTGTTTTTAACATGAAATAATCAAATATAAGTAACCAATCGTTCCACTAAGATTTTGAAACACTGAAGATTTTAACATGAAATAATCAATTATAACTAATGTTTTAACATGAAATGATCAAATATAACTAATGTTTTGACATGGAACAATCAAATATAACTAATGGCTCCAAATTAGTAGTGTTCAGATGCAAAGATGTAATGATCTTTTCTCATCGTTTTTGGAATCTCTGTTAATAGGACAAAGCAGCTCTTGTAGAAGATGACAAACTCTCAGCAGAGGAATCGTCTATTAAGAGTCAAAGCAATATGACTCAATCTGACAGTAAATCATACCGGAAAAAGCTACAAGACAGAATTCAGTCAGTGAAGGTAATTTTGAAAGTTTTTAAGCAATTCAGTCGCTCACTCTTTCAAAGAAATTGATGAGTGTATTGCTCGCTCTTTCCTGCTTTACTTTTAATTCTCCCTCTGTTTTCTTCTCAGTCTCTATGATAGAAAAAAACATCATTTTAAGATGTAGTTTGGACCCTACAGCCATGAAGTATTCCAAAGAACCAGTGAGACAAATCTGGGAATTTGCTGGACTTCCTTCGCTGCGTACCAATCCTAAGGATCCTCTGAACATGCTTTTGCATGTGAAGATACCCTCTACAACTGTGAATTTGTAAAAGAAAATGTGGTTGTGAGCAAGGGTAGTACTTACAGGTACATATTGTTTGATCGGGTGGGGAGGAAGAGCAAAATGGAGGAAGTAAAAAACATCAACTGATGGGTTCAAACTGTGAGGACAAATAAATTTCATTGAGCTGGATGGTTAAAAAAGGTTGAAAGTTCATGTACAGAAACAATTGGTTGTCTCTATTTGTAGGTTTCCCTGATCACTCTCAACGTATATGGGTAAATGTGAATGCCTTGGTTTAAAAATTTCTTAACACAGAAAATTTGAAGAATTCTCATAGTCTTACTGTCAACAAGGCACAACTTTCAATTTTATTAGGTACTTATTATTTATAAACAATAAAAATGAAGGAAAGAGATAAAATTACTCACTGCATTACGAGAATGTAAAAGGTTGAAATGCTTTGAAGAACTTCCTAGAGATCCTTAAAGTTAACAGTTGCTTATTTTTGCAACGTTCAAGTGAGTGTTTAAAGCAATTTTTAAAATTTCACTGTTTAAGTAAAGCAATGAATTTTGTTTTGCATCAACACTCAGCATTTTTCTTCAACTAAAAGTGTTACGGAATAAAATGATTTTAAAAAAAGATTTTAAAAAAATGATGAAGTGATTGTATTCAGTCAAATGAGCCTGAAAGGCATCTGGTAAAGAAAAATGATTGAGCGCTGATTGGTTTTAGTTTCCCAGCTGACCTTTCAGTATTTTGATTAAACAGATGAAATTACACACATTTTTCATTGCAGGAGAGAGCCAGCTCCTCGTTTCAAATCATAAATCAGAATGCAAGCAGGACGCATCAAAGTGATCTGAAATCAAGGCCTCTCTTCTCCACGGTCAATGATATTGTGAGTTAAATTTTCATGTTCCTGAAAGTACCCGCGCCAGCCTCAAAGTTTTATGAGAAAGGCAACCAGCTGTCTGCTCCGAGGTCCCAGGTGGGATCCTCAAGAATGGTCCTTGTGGCCATGGATGATCGTTTCATTCTGATACCCTTTGGAATAGGTCGGATGAGGGAGTTATCCAGTAGTAGTCAGCCCCCTGTTTAGCTTTTTGGGATTAAATTGTTGATCACTAATAGTCTTTGCGTCTATCACTTTCACCAGTCAGTCAAGTATTGATACTCAAGAGACAAAATTGGTAGAGGCATGCCTGTACACTGAAAACTAGCACTACAGAAGCTGAGGGTATGGCTAGCTATCATCTTGATAGAATTTATGAATGTATCCGTGGATTTCGTCTGAAGCATAGCTGTTTACAAATATTGGGACAAAATCAATTATTAGAGAATAAAAAATTCAACAAAATTTCACTCGGGTTCTAAGCGTAATTCACATGCTTTGGAGCTCTGTATGGTAATTTTAGTAGCTTCTGTGTAGCCTTAAAGGAAGCAATAATAGATTTTATCAAAGTAATAAAGTTTCCAAGAAAATTTTAATGTTAGTGCCTCTTCATACTTCAACGATAAGACACTGACTATTCCCAATTTAACTCACCGTAACAGGGCCAGTTCTTACAACCCTAAATTACAAAATCTTGTACATCATTGACTTCTTAGTTGCATAACTCAGAATTCTAATAATTATTAGCATGATTAAGCTCTGTTCCGTTTTTTCCCCAGCTGTCTGGAGAGGAGATAGAAATAAAGAAAGCCCTAAGAAATCACTCAAAACTAAGACATAAATGGAGGGAAACCGATGAGCCATTAAAAGAGGTATTTTTTCCTGATTTTTCTAACATATGTGTCACATGAAATGGTTGCCCTAAAGTGTTTGAAGTAAATGAAAAGATGTAATGAAACGCAACAATGAAACAATGAATTGTGTAATTGAATTGTTTAGTTATGGATAGACAAAACTTGTTTCATATGTAGAAGGAATGAGGAGCTTGAAGGACAAGGTGCATGAGTGCAGTTTTTGAAAAATTGAAATATTAATGAGTTCAAGTAAAACTAGTTTTAATCTATATTCTGTGAAAAATTTGCTCACAAAATATAACTTATAAGCATCAAAAAGTCAGTTTGAACTTTCTTTTCGCCATAAGGATCCATGCAATTTCAAAACTTCAAACACGTATTTCTCAAAATAGCAACACCTACACTAATGCGTCTTGTTAGATTTATTTTATTACTGATTTACTAGCCAAATTCAGAATTTCAGTTTACTATTAGAAATTCCTAAATCTCATCAGCTTAAAATTTATGAAGCTATATGAAGCAACAACTCATGGTTTTAACTACTGTGAGTCCTATGAAACATAGCCGCCACACCATCCATATCATGAACAATTGATTTCATGTCAAAAAACCGACAAAAATATTAACTTCAAACAATATTGCAAACATTGTCTGGATATTTAACTTCTCATTACAATTTTGACATAAAAGTAAATAAACAAAAGCAAATGAACTGATGCATGGCAGTTGGATTTTCATGGGACGGCATTAAATCTGTTCTCAAGTTATTTTTACATTTAAAATGAGTTTGTTTTTTTTTGGTGACTTTAGAATTCATTTTTCAACTAAATTTTGATCAAATGAAGAACAGGGAAAAAGAGGTCTCTCTTTTCTACGCCTTTTCTGAAAATGTTTGAAAGAAGTATATGTAATAGCCTCATTATTTTGCTTTGTTTTATAAATTAATTTTAATTTCAAAATTTTACTATTGGCTTCTTTTCAGATTTTATCAAGTGAAGAGGCATTTGATTTTTTTGCCAAAGTCTTTGTAGAGCATCCTCAAGAAGCTGAAATTCAGATGGAAATTCAGAGTGGAGTCAGTCGAAAAGGTATTGGTTACCTTGTTTCTTTACACATACTAAATGAAAGGTCTTAAGGCTTTTCCTTTGAATTGAGGACTTCTTTGGTAAACGGGCGCATGAGGCTTCCAATTCCGCTGAGGTCGTGCATTTTTTTGTAACATTTGCAGAAAATTAAATTTACAGTCAATTTATTTTCACTGAATAGTGAGGAAAAATTGATGGCAGAGCTTTTGGATGGGTTATTTTGTAACTCAAGTGCAATATTGGACAATCTTAGCAGTCTTGGAAGCCTCATATGCTCCTTAACCAAAGAAGTCCTCAATTTATGGTGGAATGGAACATGCAATACTCTAATTTCCGTTTTTTGAAGTCATGCCTGGGGATAAAAAATACAGGGTGAGCGAAAAGTCCCCGACCCCCCCACTAACTTTTGAACGAATTGAGCTAAGGAAATGAAACTTTGGGAATGTTCCTATCTCAAAGGGGACTATTTTTTGAGGGGGTCAAAATGTTGGTCCCCCCCCTCCACATTATCTCAGTAAGGTCAAAATCAGTTCAACATTACGTTGGCAAGTCCCCAAATTTCGGGAAAAGTTAAAAAAACGAAATTTAAACGGTCAAATTTAATCACCTTAAATTTTGTTTTTTTTAACTTTTCCCGAAATTTGGGGACTTGCCAACGTAATATTGAACTGATTTTGACCTTACTGAGATAATGTGGAGGCAAATCCAGAGGAAATTGGCTTATTTCGCGGGAAAATTGAATGACCTTTGAATTGACGTATTTGGGGGTCCGAGCCCCCCCTTAAAATTAAATCGAAGTGATTTCTGCAATTTTTACGTAAAAGCGAACACAATTTGGTAAATTTTCCCGTTTTATTTTTTTCTTTACGATAATTTGAACCGGAGTTATGATTTTTTGAAAATAGGACAAATTTGACCTTTGACCTATCATAACTCGGTCAAAAATTGAGATATTGATCTGCGGTTTGCGCCAAAATTCTTAGTTTTTTATGGTCTTTCGAATGAGGTATCACAAGATAGGGGTTGCTATTTGAGAAAAAAAAGTTTGGGGGCCCCTGTCCCCCCCTAAGGGGGGGACCAAAATTTTGACCCCCTCAAAAGGTGGTCCCCTTTGAGATAGGAACATTCCCAAAGTTTCATTTCCTTAGCTCAATTCGTTCAAAAGTTAGAGGGGGGGTCGGGGACTTTTCGCTCACCCTGTATGCTTATCTCAGTGAAAACTTATACAGGGTGGGCCAGAAGTTCCAGGACGGTCGGCTAACTTTTTAACGGTTCAAGATAGAAAAATGAAATTTTGGGAATGTTCCTATCTCAAAGGGGACCATCTTATGGGGGAGTCAAAATTTTGGTCCCCCCTAAGGGAGGGGGCGGGGGCCCCCAACTTTTTTTTTTCAAATGGCAACCCCTATCTTGTGATACCTCATTCGAAAGACCATAAAAAACTAAGAATTTTGGCGCAAACCGCAGATCAATATCTTAATTTTTGACCGAGTTATGATACTGTCAAAGGTCAAATTTGACCCATTTTCAAAAAATCACAACTCTGGTTCAAATTATCGTAAAGAAAAAAAATAAAACGAGAAAATTTACTAAATTGTGTTCGCTTTTTTGTAAAAATTGCAGAAATCACTTCGAACTAATTTTAAGGGGGGGTTCGGACCCCCAAATACGTCAATTCAAAGGTCATTCAAATTTCCCGCGAAATAAGCCAATTTCCCCTAGATTTGCCTCCACATTATCTCAGTAAGGTCAAAATCAGTTCAACATTACGTTGGCAAGTCCCTAAATTTCAGGAAAAGTTAAAAAAACGAAATTTAAGGTAATTAAATTTGACCGTTTAAATTTCGTTTTTTTTAAACTTTTCCCGACATTTGGGGACTTGCCAACGTAATGTTGAACTGATTTTGACCTTACTGAGATAATGTGGAGGGGGGGGACCAAAATTTTGACAAAATTTTTACAAAAAAGCGAACACAATTTAGTAAATTTTCTCGTTTTATTTTTTTCTTTACGATAATTTGAACAGGAGTTGTGATTTTTTGAAAATAGGTCAAATTTGACCTTTGACAGTATCATAACTCGGTCAAAAATTAAGATATTGATCTGCGGTTTGCGCCAAAATTCTTAGTTTTTTATGGTCTTTCGAATGAGGTATCACAAGATAGGGGTTGCCATTTGAAAAAAAAAAGTTGGGGGCCCCCCGCCCCCTCCCTTAGGGGGGACCAAAATTTTGACTCCCCCATAAGATGGTCTCCTTTGAGATAGGAACATTCCCAAAGTTTCATTTTTCTATCTTGAACCGTTAAAAAGTTAGCCGACCGTCCTGGAACTTCTGGCCCACCCTGTAGTTAATCTGTAAAAAATTATATAATCGAGCAATGAGAGAACGTTTTGTCAGTCAACTTTTAAAATAAAGTTGCCCACCAAAAAATTGCATACCTATTAATCTATTGGATGAAAATCTATCTATCATTTTGGTCCACGCACAGTGCAACCCAAGTAGCATTTTTCAATGTAAAAGTTGCAAGAAGTTAAAACAATTTTTGTTAAAAGTTGAAACCAAGTTGCAACTCTCTGTCAACTTTTGGTCAATAAGTGGCAATTTTTGGCGATGTGATCAGAAGAAAAGTTGCAACTTACAGCAATTGTATTGCATGAATCTAGCAACTTTTCGACGTTGCCAAGATGTTTAGAAATGTTAAAAAATTTTGTCAGCGTTGTTAAATTTCGCAAATTTTACCGCAACTTTGCCAAAATTCTCGAAAAGGTTTGATTTGCAAACGTGAAAGTTTTGAATTTTACGGACGACGCCAAAATTCTCAAAAAGTCGGGATATGCAACTTCTCGGTAGAATTCTCGGAAACAGTGAATTTTTTTAATGTTCTAAAACACGAAAATTGAGAATTTTACCAATGGTGCCAGAATTATTGAAATAAAGAGTGAATTTTTAACAATATTACCAGATTCTCGAAAATCTGGATAAATTCATCAACACGGCAAATCTCAGAAATTCTTGATTTTACCAACATTGCCAAAATTCTGAAGAATGTGAGTTTTTAACAGCGTCCCAAGTTTTCCGAAATTTTCCAGCCTTAGTAAAATTCTTGAAAGTTCATGTTTTTACTATAAATCTTAGCAATACTGGCAAGCAGTTGGAACTTCTTTTGACTCTGTACCAACAATTTGCAATATTCTTGCACTCCATAAAATTGAAAAAGAAGCAACCAGCAATACTTTGAAGTTGAAACATGTTTCAACTTACTTGCAACTAGTTCCAACAATGATAGCTCCTTCGGGGGAAAGAGTAGACAATCTACACGTCAATCTATTAGTTGCAAGAATCAAAAGATTTCGTTGCAAGTTGTTGCAACCTCTGGTACTTGGGAAGTCGTCATATGATTATATTTATTAACTCTTTGAATTTTGGGGTGGGATTTGATAGCTTCGCCGCGGAAAGCTTTCATTCTGAGTGCCTTTTCGTGTGGTCTCCAGATGGGTTGTGTAGTGCTGGAATGACTGCTTGATTTGGTAGTAGTTGCTTTGGTGTTGCATGATTCAAGACCCGGCCCCACCTATAAGTAGTAAGTCTCTCTCGCCTCATTTAGGAGTTAGAGCTTATGAAACCAGATCTCAGCGGTTCACGCCCAAACAAGCCGGACCGCGAGCAATGTATAAAAATACCAAAGCACAACCCCGAATCCCTGCTACCATCAAACCCCTATTGCACTAATGCACGCTTTTCACCGTCTAAATTTGCTACTAAATTATTATCTATTTATTTATTTATTTTTTTGTTTGTTTTTTGTTCACATATATTGCTGCTTGCTGTTTTTGCTTTAAGTTATTTTCTTACTTGGGTTGTTGCAAAGCTCGCGGTCCAGGTCGCCACCCCCTGTAATTTTTTTAATTAATTTTTTTCCCTTTTTTTTGCTTTTTGCTTTTGCTCTTCTCTACTTTGCCAAGCTTGTAGTGACTAATAGATGTGCTTTCTTCTGTCAGTAAGTTGTTTGTACAGTGGTAGTGTTTGAAAGCTTAGAAGCTTCTAGAGTGTAGAATAAGTTAAAAGAGGATTTACTGCCTTGTTACTAAAGTGTATGTGTTTAGCAGAAAAGTGTCAGCAATAATGGAAAAACTAGTATCAGTGACCGCGGGAAGTGTGCAAATCGGAAAAATGCCTGGGGATGAAAGTTGCCTTTTCAGAGCATTACTACATCATAAATGGAGACGGTTTGCCCAGAAAGAGTACCTGAAGGAGGCGGGGCTTGTCGAAGACTGATCATTTGTGAGCATCTGATCAAGAATGTGAGACAGCCGAGTGTTTATATAACGTACTTGAAACAGCCAGTCAGGATAGTGCATTCATGGAAATGAATTTTTTTTTTTCTTTCTTTCTTTCTTTCTTTCTTTCTTTCTTTTCTCTCTCTCTTTCTCTCCTTTGCCAAGCTTGTAGTGACTAATAGATGCGCTTTTTTCTGTCAGTAGGTTGTTTGTACAGTGGTTTTTTTTTTTTTTTTTTTTTTTTTTTTTTTTATTTGCACAATAGAAATTTTGTACAATAAACACTTTTAGACTTCATATAAGTCTTTTAAAAGCTTGTCTTAATTGTCTAAATAATATTAAACTAATTCTAGATACATTTTATAAAAAAGTACTACCTTTATAATATTAAGGAGAAAGGATAAAGACAGATTTACTTCAAAGTAAAAAGGCCTTATTAATTTATCTGTGTAGAATTGGGCGACCGGACTCGGTCGAAGCCCGAAAAACCTCCGATCACGTCCTAAGAGCGTAGAGAGGCACGATGATTAATATTATGAGAATTTTGAGAACCCCTGGATTCCAAGCTCATGAGGCTTGCGGCGTTTTAATCGGCGGAGGCATCGGTCCCATTCCAAGAGCGCGAGCGCTTCAGGGTTGGGGTGCCGATGCAACCTGCTCTCATATGCAGTGTACATCTTGGTGATGTAGTCCTCCACAGAATCAATGTCGAGGTCCGCCCGGATATCGACATTCCTCTCGTACCACCGAGCTTTAGCTATGCTTCTCAGAATTTTCATTTGAATTACTTCTATCTTATCTAAATTTGTTTTGGCTGCACAACCCCACAATTGGCAGCCATAGCTCCAAACAGGCCTCAACATTGACTTGTAGAGGAGTAACTTGATATTTAAAGGTATTAGAGAACTTTAAACGTAGCTGGGCTACTTTCTTTTTAATATGGGTGCCCCACCTGAGCCTGGAATCCAGGTGAAGTCCGAGATATTTGGCAGCTGTGTCGTGTGGAATTATATTGTTCCCTAGGGAAAGTGGAATGTGTTTATAAGGGCGATTTGTAAAAATTACTTCTACCGATTTTGTGGCATTTAACTTTGTTTTATCTCTCAAAGTCCACTTGTTGATTTTATTCTTGTACAGTGGTATTGTGTGAAAGCTTAGAAGCTTCTAGAGTGTAGAATAAGTTAAAGGAGGATTTAGTGCCTTTCTACTGGACAAGAACTTAAAGGAAAGTGTGTGTGTTTAGCGGACAAGCATCAGCAATAATGGAAAACCAGTATAAGTGACTGCGGGAAGTGTGCACATCGGAAAAATGCCTGGGGATGGAAGTTGCCTTTTCAGAGCATTACTACATCATAAATGGAGACGGTTTGCCTAGAAGGAGTACCTAAAGGAGGTGCGACTTGTCTATGACTGATCATTTGTGAGCATTTGATCAAGGATGTGAGACAGCCGTGTGTTTTATATAACGTACTTGAGACAGCCAGTCAGGATAGTGCATTCATGGAAATGAATTTTTTTTCTTCTTCTTCTTCTTTTTTCTTTTTTTCTCTTTTTCTCTCCTTTGCCAAGCTCGTAGTGACTGATAGATGCGCTTTCTTCTGTCAGTAGGTTGTTTGTTCAGTGGTAGTGTATGAAAGCTTAGAAGCCTCTGGAGTGTAGAATAAGTTAAATCAGGATTTACTGCCTTTCTACTAAACAAGAACTGAAAGGGGAGGAAACCATTCAGGCCTTTTGCCAATTGTTTTTGTGCCAAGTTCATATATTTAATGAAAAAAACGTGTAATAGAGGTTGCTTGCGCAGTTTATCAAGAATGTTTATTCATGTTAAGACAATGAGACATGAATGCATAGTATCCAAGAATGCATCAAGCATGCTACCAATCGTGTATAGCACAGGGTTTATGGGGGGAGCCGTGTGTAAAATTGGGCCTGACAAGGGTTTACCTGAGATTAAGAAACCAAGGATGTCCTAGCAGTCGTTCAGGTAACAAGCACAAGACATGGGAATAGTTAACGCTGAAAGCGACGTAGCCTCTATGCCTTTCTTGCAACAGGTCTGGATTGATAAATTTTCCCTTTGAATCTCCCATGCAGAAGGAAACAGCATTAGCAGTCCTCTGCTCCCATCCAATATTCCTTATCCTAGATTTTGTCCCCTGTGTGTTTCAGCAATAGTCCAACCGTTCGCTTTGAAATATAAGCATAACGAGCTATGGCCAACAGCTGGGGCGGTTGGACTTTATTCTTCTTAAATTCTTCTTAACTCTTTGAATTTTAAATATAGTTTTTCGCAAAGAGTGCAGCGCAACTTGTCAACAACTATGGCAAGTCGTAGTTACTATCATTACCAACAGGTAGCACAAAGTACATATATACCGCTCTACAATTGAAACGCTGGTTGCAAGAAGGGCATTTCTGGGTTGTATGCAGCGTCTTAGAATCTCTGTGTTTTCGCACAGACTACAATTAAAGCAAATTAATGTAAATTTTTGACATTTTTTACTGAACTTTGGTTATAATTTTACAATTATCTAACATGTAAATCTCAGAAGATTAATTTAATAAGGGTTGCCACAACCAAGGAATACTGGAACAACCAGGAAATTTCAGAGAATTTTAAAAAGTCAGGATAAACCTGAAAATGTCAGTGAAAATAACGAAAGTGCCAGGGAAAAATTGTTCAATCACTTTTATTTCCTTTTTAAGAATGGGTTTGACATTTCGAACAATTAATTTTGCCCAGAAATTTTTTAAAATAATGTCTTTTTAACCACGTAGTATATCTTCAGTTGTCTGGGAATATTGCCAAAATGTGATAGGGAAACCAGGGAAATTCATTTTCTAAATTCTGTGGCAACTCTGCTTGTATCCACTAAATTCTAATCCACCTGGTGTTGATTGTAGATGATGATGCAGTTATCAGTGGTGAGTATGAAGATCATGTCAAATTGCTAACCGCTGATTATCTTGGTCTGGCTAAGCAAGATAATGACATTGTAATTGATTCTTACATACCCCCAACTTCTGAAAACATTAACGCTCGCATTGCCAAAGAAAAAGAGCTCTACTGTCATGTCACATCTGATCAGCGTGAGTATTTTTAAATTTTGAATTTTCCCTGCAAAGCTGACCATTAAAATGCATGCTTAGTTGGGTTGTCACAATGAAATTACAATAGAATGATGTGATTAGCTGGTCCCCTCCAAATGTGCCCTCTTTGGGTCAGATTTTTGTATTGGTCATCAAGCAAGCTAGAGTCACTGCAATGACTTTTTTTAAACCTTGCCTGACAAGGGCACGATGATACGGACCATGCCATACAAACTGCGAAGCACAACATTCCGTCACAATTCCATCTCATTGTAATCTGCCAATGAAGCGCATATTGACGGTGAAACTGCAAAAATGCGGATCTTGGTTGCAGTGTTTCAAAATCAAAATTTTTTTAAAAAGAGACCAAACCAACATCATTGCTTGAAGTTTTCACATAATGTTCTTTATAAAGAGAAGAAAAATCACTGAAATTTTCATAAAAGAACGCTCTGTAGTTTTCGATATAGAAAATAAAGTATGACAGGAGTCTACAACGCCACAAACCGAGATTCATCATTGATATTTCAATTACCAGTGATAGTGGCTTTTGATCAAATTTCTCATGTTAATTGTTGCTACAGTCATTTTGATCTGTCAAAAGAACTATTGTCATCGGCATTGCAGTCAAGAGCCTACCAAGTAAAATCTCAGAGCGAATTTTGAAAGTATTGAAACTATTGCTTAAAATGTAATCGTCTGTGTTTTTAATTCAGATGGAATTTTAACTCGATTTTTTCAAATTTCATGACCCTTCATGAGATATAGTAAGTGGCGACAGTCAGGGAAGATCTGAAAAGGTCCAAGGATTCTAAAAAACCTGGAAAGTAAGGGAAAATCAGGGATTTTTGCATGAATTCAGAGGATTTTTTCCTTTTTGAGAGAGGGCCGCACTGAGTACGAGGAGCAATATTTTCTCAGTCCCACCCTGATATTAGCTAAATCAAGCTGGGTATTTGTTTTCTTCCTGCCGAAACAGCTTGACTTAAGCAAACTTTTGAGAGTTTTAGTCCAGGCGCCTGGTACCTAAAAATGAGGCTACCTGGAATTTTGGGTACACAGCGATTTCTTTGGCTTACTTTATGTTTTTTGGGTTGCTGAATCCGAATCTGAAGTTTCCTACCGCGTATCTGGTGAGCATTTTCTGCCATTTTGAAAAAATGGCCTAAAAAGACCTTTTTTTGCGTTTTTTTTATATAGCGGCTACGCATGAGAAAAAATCCCAGATTTAGCTAATGTTTTGAATAGCTGACAAAATTTGGAAGAAAATGGTGTATACATATGCTAGGTTTGCTTAAAAATTAAGGAAGATACAGCATCGTGAATATCGCGCCCATTCACGTTTTCGCGGCGCACCCGTTAACGCGTGATCCGGCTCGCCGCGGTCAGCTAAGTTCCGAAGCGTTCCAAAGTTCCGAGTTCCGAGGTTCCTCAATTTTTGAGCAAACCTAGCATATTCATATACCATTTTCTTTCAAATTTTGTCAGCTATTCAAAACATTAGCTAAATCCGGGATTTTTTCTCATGCGTAGCCGCTATATAAAGAAAACCACAAAAAAGGTCTTTTTAGGCCATTTTTTCAAAATGGCGGAAAATGCGCATCAGATACGCGGTAGGAAACTTCAGATTCGGATTCAGCGACCCAAAAAACATGAAGGAAGCCAAAAAAATCGCTGTGTACCCAAAATTCCAGGTAGACTTACCAGGCGCCTGGACTATTTGTCTTTTACTAGGATTTGTATTTGTCACGTAGAATGGTTCATTTATCTAGTTTCTCTTGCGTATATCTGATCACTAGCTCATTAATTGCTCCTGTTCAACAATTGGTTTAATTCTTCCTTTCAAGTGGCTTTTCTTTCATTATAATCTTTTTATAATTTTGATCAATTCCATTTCAGCTTCCTTGGATGCAAAACTAGGAGGGGCCACTCCTAGATTTATCGAAGAGGAAGGATTTTATAAGCCATTGCGGCCCCCTGTATCACAAAAAAACTTGAATCGATTGCAAAATCGTTTACTCACCTCTGGGAACAGGTAAATGAACACCTTTTCTTTCTTTTTTTACCATCAGATGTGGAAGTAGAGTCTACTTTTTTCTTAAATTCTACAGCATTGGCGAGGCTCTTCTCTTGAAATTTTTGTTGCCTGTCATTGATCATATTCTATCAATTCCAAACAATGAGTCAGTTAAGTCATTTTTTTTTATTGTGTCATTCGAAAGTAGTAAGTGACCGAAGCTTACAGTTTTTTTCCTAAATTTTTTTGACAACTGCAAACGGGAGAAAAGTTTATTCGAAAGTGCCAAAAATTAGGGTGGCCTGAAACGGCGTTTGAACTGAGCACTCGTAGGTTTCGCATGTACACGTCACGATCAATACAGCGGCGGAATGCGTAGTGGAAGAATACACGGCGGCGACGTGTTGGCGGTATGTTTTTGTTGGTCAATTTGAGGTTATGTCGGTTACTTTGTTTGATATTCATATCCATTGCTCTTAATTCTCTAAGCTTTTCAATCAGAATGCGATACAGATGTATGTAGGATATGAAACATTCACACAGAACTTACTTAACCTCAAACGAGAAATCGTGATGTCAACATCGGCAGCGTGGCGGCAGTAAGCAGGTCGGCTTTGGCGCTGCCATCTTCCCGTCTATGACGCGTGGATTTGAAGATTGACAGCGGTCAGTTCAAACACGTTTTCGAGGACCCCTAAAAAGGAAGCGTTATATCTCCGCGGATACAATTTTTCGTGAAATTTTAACATGCGCATCATTCTTCTCGTACCGAAAACTGTAAGAGTCGACTATTTGCAGGCAAATCCCTCCTGAGCTTAACTGACCCATTTCTGGAATTCTTCATACACCTCATTATCTTTTTGGTTTAATGTTCGTTTTAGATGTAGTTAAAAATAAAATGAACCTGTCTCCAATAGTTATTTTGTAAAACCCCTCTAGAGTAAATAAAAAAGTAAACTTACTAGTAATAACTGTTAAAAGAGATAGTCAAAATGACAGTAAAAACATCCTAATACATTTTATAACTTCCTCTGTCCTTCGTCCTTCTTCTAATACGTTTCCTCCAAATGTCCAAATTGAACTTTTTTCTTCTTTTTTTTATAGCTTCAATTTGTATTTTACAGGAAATGGTTTGGTGAAGATGGTGAGCCTTTTAGGCTACCTGATCCAATTCGTAATCTTCCTATGCGACCTGCCATCAAATTTGATTTCCACAATCATTTGAATGTCCAACTTCAACCTGTAAGTTTTTTTTTCTTTGTTTGCGCTTAAATGTAGGGCATATCGTTCTTATTTCTCTTTCTTATTTTACAGCATTATCTTTCACATTTGTGGCAACCACCACAAGTCCCTCCTTTGATGCTAAGTCGTGATGAGGTGTATTATAGTGATGAACTTGACCAATACTAAACAAAAATACTTACTTGGATGTTTCAATTGTGCAGCCTAAATTTGTTTTCAGGCGACGCCTTTGAAGGTGGGGAAACAGAGTGGACCTGGAAATTTAGGTCCAGAGGATGAAGACAATTTCATCTTGGAAATAGAGTTAACTGATCTCGCATTCACCCATCATTGGCTTTTTTCACGAGAACATGTTCTGTCCAACAAGTTGAATTCCATCTTCAAACGGTATAAATTCAGTATATCAACTGGTCAATGTCGACGGCTTCACTCCAAGCTCCAGGCATTACGCTCATCCAAGGAGAATACAGAGAGAATTTTAGCATCAGAACAAAACAGTGACCTAGCAGATTTGCACAGGCAGCGGCTTCGCAGGTATTTTTCTTATATTCTGTTCTGTATTGCTTCAACTGAAGCCTGTGCTCAGGCACTAGAAAATTGTGCTGTCAAATTTCCCTCAGGCAAGTGGCATAGCCAGCAACTAATTTTGGGCAAGGACTGTTCAGGCTTAAAATTTCTCATGAAAGAGTCCAAAGGCATTCTAAGCCATCTTTCCTTCCAACTACTGCGGCAACTTCGTGCATGGCGCACAGCAGCTTTCTCTTTTGAATTCATGTATTAAATGGATGTATTCGAGTGAACGATGTATTTCAGCAAAAAGGAATAATGTGCAAAAGAATAAAGTCCAAAAGAAACTGTGTTGCATGTAAACCGTAGTGTCTGGTACCAGGAAAAACGGGGAAAAGAGGGATTCATCAGGGAATGAAAAATTTCAGGGAAATCTGGGAATCTATTCTAAAAACCGGGCATCTCTGTCTATTTTCAGCATCTGTTAATTTTTTGTGGAGTAGTTTACACGAGGTGGTAATAGCCTATAGCTCTTCAGAATACACACTTTTTGCTTTGAGACAGGTTGTACACCACCTTTGCTGTACAAATTGTTGTCTTCCGCACAAAGGAACGTATCTCGATTAAATTTGATTCAGCCATTTTTCCAGGCTACAAAACTGCAAAAACTAGCTATTTGTGCTTTTGTGCTTTATTTTTTACTTTCATGAAGGATATAATTTCCATTATTATTACTTATATTTTCCTCTTTGCTTGAAGATACATATTTGAAATTCAAGAAACAAGAGAAAAATATTTACTTGAAATGAAGACGCAGCGAGATCTATTGACAACCTTACTGTCCACTTGGAGGGATCTGAAACAATTACGAGAAAGCCAAGGATATGCACTGACTACCCCTAAATTGGTTATTACACAGCACAGTAATGATACCTACAACCAAGTCAATGGTTTTGATTTTGAAACAAACAAGTGAGTAAAATCTGCTAATAGTTTTTAAAGAAACATCCACAACTCTCCTGAACCTTGAATTTATAAGCTACAATTTTTGCTGATGAATCTTCAGCAGGCAAATGATCAAATAAGGCATTTAATCAGATACTCAGATAAAGTGCCAAACATTCTTTCTCAAAGTGAAACTCTGGTTCTTCTGCAAATCTTTGACAAAATTCTTACTTTTCTACATAGACAAGAATTATTTTTAAAAAATTCCATCTTTGTATGGTTGCTGTAATGATTTCCAACCTCAAAATGATCAATCATTTCAAAAGTTAGAGTTTTTCAAATTTGACGGTCAAAAGTATGTGAGAAGCATTTTGAAAAGGAAAATACAATAACAGTTCCTTGTCTCATGAATTCTTACTTTCAAAATTTGACTGCCTGCCGAGGCATCTCATAAAAAGCCTGATTTGACTATTTGTATGCGACAAATCCACTCCAGGGATATTGACTGCAATGGTCCAAATTCACAGTGTCAGCATATGGAAGTCGTATCAGCATGAGGCTAGCCTCTTCTCAAAACTAATTTTGCCTCTATCAAATCGCATGATAGCAAATGTACTGCATTTTCCAATTGAGCTTTTGGCTCCATTTAGAAATAATGTATGTACCATCGGTTTACCCACACATATAAGCGTTTTTATAGATGAGCCAGATATTGTAGTCCCTAATTGAAAAATGAAGTCCAAATGATCCTTGTTACAATGGTCTTCAACAAACCTAGAGTTTGAATCATCATTAAATCATAGCTTTCTATTGAAAAGCAGTCTTTGAGACAGGAAGTTTTCCATTACCAAAGAAGCCGTTATGTAGAGACAGTCCAAGAGAGTAGTTTCGACATGGCTAAAGATAAATTAAGAACAAGGACAGAAGTAAGCATCAAATATATCTTGCAAAAATAGCGTTTTCGAGTGAAAGGGCATATATGTAGATTCTTATTTGGACGTATTTCTATCAAACAGATTTATGTGCAGGTGAGAAATATGGGTTGTGCTCGTTAGTTCTCTAGCTGTAAGAGTAAATGAGAATAAGTAAGCTCCAGTGGCGTTAGCGGCAATAATTGAGTCGGGGCACAACAGGGAGATCTTGGAGGGGCGCTTTAACTCATGAACCCTGTCCATAACGCTCTGGTGCCATAACTGCCATACCCATGGCTCATGAATCTCGCATTCAGTTGGCAAATAGTTCTGTTTGCCGAATTTAAAATCCTGCTTTTCCAATTCTTTAAAAGGAATCACGCCCACTTTTACATTGTTTCTTATGCAGCTTTCTAGGGCTCACCCCATATTTCTCACCTGCACATAGTTCTGTTTGATAGAAATACGTCCATTTTATTCATGCCATTTCATATTGAGCTTATGTGCTAGATACTTGAAATTTTGGCCAGTAGCACTCAAAGGAAATACTTAAAACCAGTCTTTAAATTGTTAATGAGTCGTTAAAAGCATCAGCAGAGTTGGGCGCGAATAATTCGGCAATTACTGAAATTGATGCGGCAACTCCAACTAGACACTCGGTCCTCAGAATCCTCTACCTGAAAAGATAGATCAGTCATCAAATTTTTCGTCTGATTAACGATTGATTAGACGTTGCTGATCGACCAAATAATTTCCGAATAATTGTTTCCCAACTCTGAGCCTCAAAGATACAGATTTGAACTTTCAAATGCCTTATTCGTAAAACTAGATTTTCCACTGCTTTCTTCCTAATGGAAAAATGCCTCAATTGGTGGTTTAAGAAGGAGTTAAAAAGATTATGTAATACTTTTCATTGCATGGAAACTGAGAGGATGATGTTTAATATGCAATAAGTTATTCAAATTGTCGAGTTCTAAGTTGACAGCTTTCCTAACAGAAGGATTGATCATTTTCTAATAACTCTGTATCCTTCATATCCAGGACCATTCAAGAACTTAGGGAAGAACTAGAAATGATGCAAAATGAAGAAGGAGTCACGGACTTTTCAAACATTTCATTCAGAGTGAATCTTTTTATTACTTTTCGGTAGATTCAATTTTGCCTCGCACTCGAGTTATTTTGGACCTTTCTAAGCACTGTAGAGGACTATCGCACCATGGCACTCCTTTTTGTGTCTCTCTGACCGACTCATCTTCACAATTATAAATATTCCACAGTGGCTTTTTTAACTCACAATCAGTTGCAATCCCAGGTAGATTTATGTGAATGACACCTGTATTTTCCAATTTAATGAGGTTTTTAGTTCTCAAAGGCCTGTGATAGAACTTCAGATTTCGTAAAATTTTGAAACTATCCGGATTTGCATCAAGAGAACCTCTCCACCTTTCATGTCAGTAGCATGTGTTAAATATTTTCATATTAATAAGTAAATTTATAATGAAAATATTTTTGATGTAAGTAATTGATTTCAGCTAAATTTAACCCATTGACTTATGATTTAATTTGACCCTGCCGGGCCAGGAATTACGATTTAATTTGGCGAAAATCAGTAACTTTGAACACTTCAAAATAATCCAGAAATTCTTTCTCTGAGGGTGAAAATTGACACAATAAGCATTCACAATGCAACGTTTGAGGAAAATGGTGAAAACTTTAAACACAATGATTTCTCTACTGTGGTTTATAGCTGTCAAAGTCGCAAAAATCGCAAAAATCGCAAAATCAGCGAAAACCAGAAAATTTTGAGGTTATTTCATGTGCAAACGCACAGTAATATGAAAATACCGTAACAAAACAAGAAATTATCATACACACTGAGTCATTGGGTTGCCACACTACTCATATAAACATTGATGAGAACGCAATCTACCTGAGAATCGCCAAAATAACGCAAACAATCAACGGACGGCTCTGAGCCGTGTCTTCAGATCTGGCCCAGCGCTGTGCGAACGGCTGGGAGCCGTCGGTTTAAGTCAATGGGTTAAAGCATTGTGGTCATCAACAAAGCTCTTTGAACTATTTTTTCATCGTACAAGTATTGCTTCTGTATTTAATTAGAATTGGACAAAAAATTTCCTATGCTTGTGCCTGGCTCATTAGTTGTTTTGTTTGTTCTTTTCCAGCTTGGTTGCTATTTAAAACAAAGCCCCACAAACCTCCATAGCAAAGAAAAGGCTGCAGAAATCGATCCGCAGAAAGTACATGAAAAGCTATTGGAATGTTTAAGACCTCCTGATGAGCCTCAGTTGACGATTGATATGAGCAGCATTCAACCAACACCAGTAAACTTGATAAAAGATTCAATGTAAGTAAGCTGTTCATGGAATCCTAAGAACCAGAACCTAATAAAATGAGTCGCTAGATGAGGAACAAATTTAAACATTCTCATATGTTTCCTCCTCAAAGTTTCATGTCAGACTTGATTTGCAACAAATATTACTGAAATCAATTCCTGAGCAAGATTAACATTTATCTTCAGCACAGGCTACGTGATATTTAATTTTTCTCTCTCTCAAAAAAAAAAAAAAAACCAGTGTCCATTTGAGTACAGGGTTACACTACAACGGTTTTGACAGGTTCCTCAATTAGCAGTGTTCCTCCGCGACCTTGTGTTTCCCCAAGTATAAACAACTTGTAAGAGTTGAACCGAAGCATCGAGATTGAAGCTGCCATATTTTCATACTCAAAAGACTGTCACGGTAACATTTTAGTGTGCGATTTAACTCGAGCAGATTATTGTTTTTTTTTTCTATGAGCGAGAAGTTTGAATCGTTGCGTCAAGAAACGTTAATATCTCGGTAGGGAGTCACTTTCAATAATTTTTTTAAAAAAAAAAAAATTTTAAATTTTTTAAAATTTGTTTTTTCCATGTCAATTTTTAAAGAGGAATCAATATCGTAATGCTCAAAACTGCACCTCGTCTGGTGGCCCATTTCTGTTTATGCAGAGCCAGGCTCTGATTACTCCGATTGTTGTGATTCAATTTATCATTTGTAGATAGATAATTTCTTTGAGTTTTGATACTGTTGCACATCTTTCCAAAAGTTGTTAAGTCCACTAAAAAATCAAAGAGGTTTACCAAAAACCTCTTTTCCTCATAATTTCTGGGCTTTTAAGGAGAGGGTAATTAGTCAATACTACGATGAGTGTAAAACGTCTGATTTTGCCCATTAAAATTTCACTTAGAGTATTTTATAGTTTCATTCTCTTAAAAGAGTCTATATATAAGTGGAAAAAGAATCATAGGGTGAATTGATTTTTTTCAAGAGTTTATTTAATCCTCAAAGAAAAAATGCTAAAATTACGGCCCGTACCGTAAGTGGCATGGTGATAAAATAGTTCCGTCCATTAAAACGTTAGAGTATTTTATCGTTTCATTATCTTAAAAGAGTTTAAATATAAAAGGAAAAAAAATTGTTGAGTGAATTGATTTTTTTCAAGAGTTTATTTAATCTTCGAAGAAAAAATGCTAAAATTATAGCTTGCACTGTAAGTGACATGGTGATAAAATAGATCTGGGTCCACGCTACTTTACCACCTTTTTCTCAATCATTATAAAAATGTGGGGCATGTAATTTTGCATGTATACAAGCTGTATGTAAGGAGCAGATAACTACAACATTTCTCTTCTTTCTATGTTCCTTATTAAGTTTCATTTTTATTAAGATTTAGCTTGAATAATTGGGTATTAGAGATAGCCCCAAAAATGACGTTTAATTTCAGCTTTGTTTTTTTTGTTAAAGGGAACAAGAGAGGCAAGCCAGTGTGCGTAAGTGTATTGTTTGGTTGACAATTTGTTTTAACAATTTAGAAGTTTGCCGAACGCGATCTCAAGTGCTAAGTCAACGTTTTACTGTGTCCTTCAATGAACGGTTATCTTTGAACATAGCACAGTGCCCTGAGTCCATCTCTGTGAATATCCACTTCTCTGAACGCAGCTTAACGACTATTTATCTACCGATTCCAGAAAGGTCAGATTTTTGTCCTTATTTTTGACGGAATCAGTAATTGTTATTTTCTGTTCAATATTCCTCTGATCTTGGATTATGATTTTTTAAACAGCTTCATGACTTGATGGCTGGAGTGCAGGTTTAGACACCTAAAATTAGGACCCTTGCAACTTCGCCCAGTCATTTTAACCGGCAGAGCACCAGTGTCAAAATACGAGGATGATAGTCGATATATTGAAAAACATTTGTAGGAATGCATAAAATTTAGAACGACTGTTTTCTTCAGCTGAAACAGGATTAATTTGCAGAATGTCTTAGTTTGCTAGATTATTGGTGAAAACATAAGCTTCTTACCTTAAATATTATTTAAGTAAAAAAGAGAATAAAACAATTTGTAAACACGGAGCTTAATAGTCTGAATTATTTATTAAGTAACTAATGAATGGAAAAGGAATTTTAAAAAAAAAAAAAAACTGATGAATCAGGTTTGGAAGCAGGAAACATCATATCAGGTTGGCGTTTCTGGAGACAATGAGCAAAGGCACAGAAACATGTCTGTATAAAGAAAATAAGAGTGAAATCAAGTTTTGCGGAATAGATACTTTTTTCAGTTTCAGTCACCAATTCTAATTTAGTCTCCTGATTTAAACGGTCATTTGAAGCCTTTAAATTCGAAACTAGCAAAATGTTTCGAAATAATCAAGTATCTTTTTCCAAAGTTTATAATTTACAAAAAAATGAAAACAAAAACAACTTAAGTCGATGTGTTCACTTGAAATTAATAAGTCGAGTTTTCTTCTTTTTCCTTTTAGACAGGTAAAAAGGGATTATATTTCTTAGATGCTTTATAGGCAGTTCTTCCATTGACAAAATACACTTTTGCCAAAAGATAGTATAAGGCCCAATTAATCCCTTCAACTTTTAAGTGAAATTTTTAACAGAGCGCATTTTTCAATGAAGAAGTCTTCTCTCTGCAGGAAGCTTTGTTTAAGGAAATTACTGAATGCAAGGATCACTTATGAAACTGAGAAAATTTGTTTTCTTGTCTTATTTTTTCTTTGTGAAAAATGTTTTTCTTTCTTTTTTTTCAGCGGTGTGACTTTAGAAGTAGCCCAGCCTGAATGTTATGAATTCAGTTGCGATCAAGTGGTTCAAAGTGATGGCACCAAACACAATGGAGTAGGCGCTGGCATTGCATTCAAATCCCTCCCTGATGATAAATCCTCCCTTTGTCTTTTTATATCAGGCTCATTGACTTGCCGAACTGGATGGGGTGTGGTTGGGAATTCTACTCTTGCGCCTCCCCTTAAACAACTTAATATTGTCGCTCCTCTTTCCAGGTCTGCATTTTATGCTTGATGTATCTTTAAGAGGCATTTTCAGCAAGTTCCTTCATATTCCTTGAAATGTTTTATAGTTTTATTGGCACATAACATTGTCTTTCGCACAAAGGAATGTAACTCCGTTGCGCTGTTTCAGTATTTTTTACTCACACTTTATTGTGTTCGAAGTAGAACTACTTATCATAAAATTTTAAAAGTAGCTCTTGTGACGGTTATTTTCCCTCAAAAAAATAAAATTCTCTTAGAAATACTGAAGCAGCGTAGACAAGATACTAACCTTTGTACACAAGGCGAAAATGATTAGAGGTGGGCTCATTCTCTTGCCCCCTGCTGGCTGTTTCCTCTTGCTCCATCTTGATATTTTTTAGTGAGCTATGCACTTAAGACTGGGAAAATTTGCCTCTTTTCCAAATTGTCTCTAAATCCAAAACTTTCCTCTGAATTATTAAAACAAATTTTGAATTGCTCGTGTCCCCTCCTCGAAAATGTGCTACCCTAGGCCTATTTAGCCTCCTAACTGCCATGCAACGCAAAAACGCCGTAAACACCATTTTACATTTTTCGGAAACAATGCACCATAGCAGAAAAACTTGTGTTCCTTGGGACAATGTTTTTACAGAATTCTTTTGCAAATACTATCAAGAACTTAACCTGAAAATTTGAAGTGTTTGGGTAAATCAGTTTTTACCTTATAAATAGTTAAGTTCCAAAAAACGAGGGAAAATCTTGATGGATTTACGGCGTTCTTGCTCAGCATGGCAGTATATGACAATGCGAGACTTAATTGCTTTGTGGTCCATTTAGCAATCGATCAATTAATTGTTTCTCCTTTTGCTAAGAAAAGGATGGAAACACCAGTATTAGATTCTGAGTTACTCTAGTAATAAATAATGCCTAATTGAATGTAGCCAGTTAAGAATACTAGAAAAGTTCAGAACTTGTTCTGTTGAATGTGAAAGATGAAATAAAAGGGGTGTTTATTGATCACTTCTATGTATTAATTACTGATTACTGCTTCTCTGAAAACTATTAATTCATGAAAATGTAATTTTTCGCAGGAGGGTTGCCCAACCTGTTGTCTCTAGTATGTCTACTTTGGAAAAAATGAAGAAATGGGCTGATCAAGCTTGTTTGGACCCAAATGATCCAAACAACGTTGAAATACTCGAACTTTTAAGGGTAAGTTTCAAAAATCTAATATCTTACTACGATTTACCTTTGATATGCTTCACTGCCTGAGAACAATGAGCCTCTAGACAGGGTAAGAACTGGAGGCTCTAAGCACATGAATCTGCATCAGAATTTCGCGTAGAATTCAATGGTACAAACGGGAATTCATGAAACCAACTAATAAGCGAGATATTTGCGTAAATAGACTGCGCATTTTTGTAAATCCCGCTCGCCTAATATACGAATGACGTCACATTTGTAGCCAATAGGATTGTCGCAGCGCTGCGCAGCGCCGACTGAGCATCGGCCATCGAAAGCGTCCAACGCTTCCAACGCCGGGATCGTAAACAAACGAAAATTGATAACAGGAAGGACCCAAGCACCCAAGCAACTCGAAATCTTTTAATTTTCATTAATTACAGTCCATGTTCGACTTCAAGAAAGCATTTGACAACCATTTTCCTCGTATTTTATAACCTGGAGCCACAGCCTATCGGCTCATTGTAATGTGCACTCTGAGAATCAGTTCCACAAGTCCAAACCCTGACATCCTTTTCTTTGACCATTCTCTTTTCATTCTCGCCACAATTGAAGTGTTATGCAGTTTCTTTATCTAAAATATGTGGTCTTGAATTCATTCAGGAGTCAGAAGTTTACCTTTCTTTTAGTATTACAGCCCTTTGACGCCTCAAACTTCACCGATATGACCTCATGTAGTTCAAGGTTTCTCTGGCCCGAACCGAGTGATTACACATCTGAGGTGTGTCTCATGGTTCTTCAAATTAGCAGTTTAGAACTAAATTAGGGACTACAGTGACTCAATCCAGTTCTGCTTTCTTGTTCAATGTTTGTTATCAGTGTCTGTTCTTTTACGTGACCAATCTAGTGCATGCACTGTTACGCTATAAGTACAGGTATTATTGCTTTTTTCCTGCTGTCAGACCTTTTTCTTAAGCCTGCTGATTCACCACAGAATCTGCCCTAGCTGTGTAAATAATTTGGTGTGTAGTTATTGAGTTAATACCTCCTTGCGGTGATGCAAACTTTCTCAGATCCGTCATAAGTGGGTATTGCATTTAGACGATCACTCCGACCAGATGAAATCACTGCTCTAGCAGTTTCAAATTTATACTTTGATCTCTGATTCACTAATAAATAACACTTTATGGTGTCATTTATATTTAATCAGTTCAAAGCTAATTCGACAATGAATCATCAATGGTCCGATCGGAAAAGGAATTTTCTGGTGCGTGCTATGGCTGAATCGACACTACACTCAATTTTCGAAAGCTTCAATCAGGATATGACCATCCGTCTTGAAGTGAAAATATTTTTCAACCATTCAAGTAGTTCAAAAGGTAAGATATCTGAAGTTACTAAGGTATCACCAGGGTACATACGGATCTGTTGTTGGACAGTTAGTGTGAGTATGCTTACGTTTGTGGATAATCATTCATGGCAAAAAGAGGATGTTAATGACAAGGCTAAACTGGGAAACCACTTACCTAAATTCACAAAGTTTCAGACTTCCTGTTCCTCTTAATTTCTCAATTAAAAAATCATTCAACAAAATCTCTGAAATGTGATATTTTTCCTCTACATGGGCAGAAAATTCAGTAATTAATTCAAACAATATGCTGACTTGCTTCCCTTTGAAAATCTGAACTGGATGTAGAAAGTTTGAGCAACGTATTCAGGATATGTAATTTACACGTTTTGCAAATGATACCTATGTTTGGCCATTAGATTGGTTTGAGAAGTAAATGTTACAAATGTCATCCCTGGTCAATCTGAACTGTTTTTCCCAACTTGTTTTCATGGTGGGATGTAATTCTATGACTTTTCAAGATCCTTTCATCTTTCGGTACCTGAAAAATTCAGTGAACCAAACGACTTTCAATAGGAATCGTTGGCAACTTTACCATGGAAATGATTCTTAGGTGATTTTGAATGGAACAATCTTACACAAACTTTTGTTGAGCAGGTTTTACTCGCCCTGAATTCTTAAAAGAGAGGAAAAATATTTTCTTAACGCTTGGAAGATGACCTAACTATGTTGCTGTAAGTAGGTGTGATCACTTCATTTCATGAAATTCAGTAAGGCTCGTCGCTGCATGAAACACATAAAACATACTGATTAAGAAATGAATCCTCAAATAATTAGCAACTGTTTTGTGCAATATCTGTTGATTAGCATTTGATGATAACTAGAATACAAAAATTCTGAAATTAAGAAACCAGGAATAAATAACTACCAGAATGGTCTTTTCAGATTTTCTCTGAGACAAATTTCCATATTCATTGATGAAGTGTAGTGTGCATTTGAATTCACAATGTTTGGAATTTCCAATAGCATTTAAGGCCTGAGGCACAATTCCTTATCTTTTAAAGCAGGGAAGGCACCTTGGACCCTCCATCATTCGTAACTCACAGCTTTCAGATTGGTTCAGTCATGTCTTCGAGCAGAAAAGCCCTCTAAATGACCAATTTCCACAATTTTATAACTTCACCCACTTGAGATGTTGTATTCCTCTTTAGATATATGGCAGGAGAGTATATTCTGAAATTTACAGGACACACATCTCTTCAGAAATAGGAGACTGCTAACAGAATTATTACTTACCAAGTACCAGTTCCTGATGAATTTTTTTAAGGTTCATGCTTTCGAAAGTTGAGTTGTAGGTAATGTCGATTCAGCCGTAGCACGCACCAGAAAATTCCTTTTCCGATCGGACCATTGATGATTCATTGTCGAATTAGCTTTGAACTGATTAAATATAAATGACACCATAAAGTGTTATTTATTAGTGAATCAGAGATCAAAGTATAAATTTGAAACTGCTAGAGCAGTGATTTCATCTGGTCGGAGTGATCGTCTAAATGCAATACCCACTTATGACGGATCTGAGAAAGTTTGCATCACCGCAAGGAGGTATTAACTCAATAACTACACACCAAATTATTTACACAGCTAGGGCAGATTCTGTGGTGAATCAGCAGGCTTAAGAAAAAGGTCTGACAGCAGGAAAAAAGCAATAATACCTGTACTTATAGCGTAACAGTGCATGCACTAGATTGGTCACGTAAAAGAACAGACACTGATAACAAACATTGAACAAGAAAGCAGAACTGGATTGAGTCACTGTAGTCCCTAATTTAGTTCTAAACTGCTAATTTGAAGAACCATGAGACACACCTCAGATGTGTAATCACTCGGTTCGGGCCAGAGAAACCTTGAACTACATGAGGTCATATCGGTGAAGTTTGAGGCGTCAAAGGGCTGTAATACTAAAAGAAAGGTAAACTTCTGACTCCTGAATGAATTCAAGACCACATATTTTAGATAAAGAAACTGCATAACACTTCAATTGTGGCGAGAATGAAAAGAGAATGGTCAAAGAAAAGGATGTCAGGGTTTGGACTTGTGGAACTGATTCTCAGAGTGCACATTACAATGAGCCGATAGGCTGTGGCTCCAGGTTATAAAATACGAGGAAAATGGTTGTCAAATGCTTTCTTGAAGTCGAACATGGACTGTAATTAATGAAAATTAAAAGATTTCGAGTTGCTTGGGTGCTTGGGTCCTTCCTGTTATCAATTTTCGTTTGTTTACGATCCCGGCGTTGGAAGCGTTGGACGCTTTCGATGGCCGATGCTCAGTCGGCGCTGCGCAGCGCTGCGACAATCCTATTGGCTACAAATGTGACGTCATTCGTATATTAGGCGAGCGGGATTTACAAAAATGCGCAGTCTATTTACGCAAATATCTCGCTTATTAGTTGGTTTCATGAATTCCCGTTTGTACCATTGAATTCTACGCGAAATTCTGATGCAGATTCATGTGCTTAGAGCCTCCAGTTCTTACCCTGTCTAGAGGCTCATTGAATAAATTACTCCATTATTTTTTTCTGTTGTATCAAACAAGCATGCATTGAAAAGAGGATTTTCTAAAAAGACTGTTTAACAGAAAAAAACTGTTGAACAAAATAAGAATCTGGTTGTTTATTTTTAATTTTCTTGCCTTCTTGAGAAGCTGAATCAGACAAGTAAGACTCTTTTTTTCGAACTGAGGAAAATAGGTAAACTTTTCATATTTATGCATTACAATTTCAATTTCTTTTTTTTTTTTTCAATGTCTATTGTCATTTTATTTTTTCCAATATACAGTTCATTAGTAATTTTCCTTTCCTTCCTCATAGTCTCTGAGTTAAAACAAAAGATAGCCACGGAATTTCTGTATCCATCAAGGCTGAAAACTGCCCAAATCTCTGTTCTTTTTGTGTTGTTAAAAATAGCCTCATTCTTCGTTGAATCAATGGAAGAAGAGAGTTGATGATGTAATAATAAATGTATTCTATTTTTAATTCTTGTAATAATACAAACATTTTTCTGTGAGCAGAATGTGAAAGCCACATCAATTGAAGAGAATAGAGGAATTATATTCAATGAAATAGAGCAAGATTACAACATGTGCGTGGATGAAGAATTAATCACTAAACGACTGAAGCTTTTAATATTACGGGACCAAGAAGAGCTTGAATTCAAAAACTTGAGGTTCGTCCCACTAAAGGAGAGAGAAATATCAAAAGATATTTTTAAGGTAATTACTTTTATTTTATGTCCTAATTTTGTCCTCTTGTGGCCCCTTAAATACTTGCATAAACATCCGTGAAAAGCCTAAAGAAATGGAAAGATTTTCTGACAAATATTCCGGAATGATACTCTCTGACAATAATAATGGAGAATTTTTTTCATTTTTTCTTTCCAATCTTTTAAATTAAAAAAAAAAAAAAAAATTGTTTTTGGTTTTTTTTTGTATGAAATTCTATATATCCTCAGCTTTAATTCAGGACCAAGTTTTTTAAAATCTGATCATTATTGAAGTAGTTTTCATGAAGCAATTCTTCTATGTTCAAAACTTCAAGCAGGACTTTTTCAAAACAATGTTTTTTGACCGTAAGGTTCTCTTTCTTCAGAATCCACTCCATGGATTTTCAAAAACGTTCCTCTGTTTTTCTTCCCCTAACCTTTTTCTCTAACTACAGATGAGAGAGTTTTTTCTTAGTATTCTTTTAAAAAAAATACAAAATGATTGAAGGCATTCTATCAATTTGTTTTTATTTTTTTTAAAAACTCACGAAAATTTCAATTTTTTAAAATCCTCAATTCTATAACTTAAAGAAAGTCCAAGGAATCGATCAAAAATTGTTTTTTAAAAATCCATCAAGTAGAATCTGAGGAAAGTGTACCTTAGCACCAGTAAATTTTACATGGTGAAGATAGGGAAACGTAACTCCCCTTGAAAACAAAGACCTTACTCTACTCGTTTTCATTTTTTTATTTAAGGACTATGAGAACAGAACTCAGTGTGGAGATTTCCCAAGTGATATTTCTGCCGGCAATGGTGTCGATGTCCACAGACTCAGGATGATTCATCAGCTGAATAAATTACGAGCAGCTGTTTCTGAAAAAATATCCCTGGCAGCTCAAAATCGAACTTTACTGCATATGGTGAATGAGGATCAGGTACCTGATATGGGCACCCTCGGATTGACGTTCATGAAATGGCTACAACCTAACCGTCCTTTACGTCCCAATCGGAAGGAGTTGAAAAAGATCCCAGCACAAGGCTTGTTTGGCCAGGAGATCAAAATTATCGTTAACATCATCGGTGCTTTTGAAATACCAATACGACAAGATGTGGACACCATTATCGATGATAAGTTCCAATTGATACCCGTGCATCCGTTCGTGGAGGTATCCTTCCAAAATAAGAGTTATCGCACAACGTCTGCGGAAGGTTCAAATCCAACATGGAATCAGGATTTAGTTATTTCACTGAAAACAACTAACATAGATTTGTCAATGTTAAATGAAGTAATTTACATTCATCTCTTTGATGAAGTTGTCATTGATCTTCTGGAAGATGACCGACTAAAAGGCACAATGATACATCAGCGTTTTGAAAGACACTGGCTTGGGAGTTTATCAATCCCATTTTCAACTTTGTATCATAATTTCCGAATTGAAGGCACTTTCCAGTTGTATTCTCCTCCATGTCTCCTTGGCTATGAGCGACTCGTCAGTGCTCATTCGCGTAACGCGACATTTCTCACCCTTTTTATCATGCTCCAGCCAGTTATCAATCCTCCTCCGCCCGTGAAACATCAGTTAGAATCATATGAAAACTCTGAAGTCGTCAAGTATCTTGATTATTGTCAACAGAATCAACTCAGATCATTTCCGAAGAGAACAATTAAGACCTTAGTTGTCAACTCAAATTGCAAATCAGTATGTGTGACTAGACTACTGAAGCCATTAAATTTACCCAATTTATTATCCGAGTCAGAGAAAATCCCTGAAGCAATGATAGCTCGATACGTTTCCATGATACCAACATCACGGACAAATCTTTTTGAAACATCCTTAGATGTTTGGTTGACCGGCGATCAAGTTATCGGGCTTCTTATTGGTAATAACTATGACCATGCTGTCTTACTTTGCTGTTATTTGATGAAATTGAAGAAGAAAGTCTGGCTCATCATTGGATCTGGGATACCACATGGTCCATCAGCGTATGTTTTAGTGCGTGAAAATAGCCGTTCATACTACATTTGGGATTCTGTCAGTGGACTCAAATATGATATCCATGATAGCTTCTCTCCTTTGCAGTCTGTGTACTGTATTATAAATGATCAAAACGTAAGTTCAATAAATAATGCAATATTATTGAAAACTTCCATCCATAGTCTGCACCATAAAAAGTGGTGACCGATAGACGGAGTCATAGACTAGCTTAGGGTATTGTCTAAAGGGTTAAACTCAGGTAAGCTATCTCATTCATGCAACCGAAAGTTGTTGAAACCGATAAACTCGTAAACTATAGACCAGGCTGCTTACCTGACTCCATCCCTCAGCCGCCACTTTTTGTGGCATCATTTAGTCACTGAAGATTTTTTTTACATTTTTAATCTTATTTGTTCTTTCCAAACTAAATACCCCAATACATGATGTATAAAAATTGAAGAAAACAATGCTGAATACAAATTTATAAGAGAAATATGCTTAGACTGAACCAAGGCGTCACTTTCACCCTGTTGAAGTACAGAAACAGAAGTATTGAACAAGTGAAATTAATATGCGAACAGCTAGAAAATTCAGTGTAATCAAAAGAATAATAATCTAAATTAAGGTTTTGATCAAAAGTCAGGGAATTCGAAAATTTCGCTGTCAGAGAGAAGCAAAAAAGTCAGAGTAAAGTTAGGGAATCGACCGATGAAGAAATTATAGAAACCCTACATTTTTTGCTAATCTATAAACTTAAATCATTAGAGCATGATTTTGTGACTAGCACAACTTTTTCATTTCTGCTGTCTCTCACAGCATGACAGTTTTAGCGTTGAACTGTTTCTGTGTTTTATTAACCTTTTAGCCTCGTTTGCACCTTTGTCTCATTGTTACATTACATTTGTGTGTTGGTTAATTTTTTTCAAGATATGGGCAAATATTCAGCGGCAAGAAGATATTACCAGAATGCGCTGGGATGTCTCAAAATCATCAGACTGGAATCCTATTTTTGGACGAAATATGAGTGCGCCTTTAGGCTCAATTCAACCGGCTGTAATTGATTATCCTGTAACACCTGATCGCGAAGTGCTTTCCTTGCAAGAAAAAGTGGAAACTTTGCTGCGTGATGCAATCATGAAGTGGCGGTCAACTAACAAGTAATCAATTTTTTTAGGATTTTTTCTGATATTAACAGTGTTCTTAAAATATTTAACATTTATGTCACATTTTGCATATTGTCTTACAGCACTGCATACCTACATTTTAGTTCTCAAAAGCACCACAATGTTTTAGTTTCGGGGTCCAAAACAGAGTATATTGGAACTGCATCTATGAAGTTAAAATAAATGAATTTCCGTAAAGTGTTAACACACAAACTAACATGACTTCAGTATTTATGTCTCTGGTGCCATTGTAAATTCAGGAACTTAAACTCTTCTAAGAGCTCTTGCATTCCGCAGGGATTTCCAATTTTTAGTACTGTGCTTTAAAATTTTACAAAAACAGAATTATGTCACTGGTTTTCTCTAAAACCAACCTCCAGGATCAAAATTAGCCCTCAAAGTTGAGGCTATATTAGAAAAGATAGCTAACATTACAGGTAGATTCCACCTCCATATCCAGTTCAACTCTCCATGCATGGATTGGAAGCAAATACAGTAACAGGATTGCTGTGGCTCCAGTCCTCCGACATTCTCTACACTTTTTCATACTTTTTAACAACCTGGATATTAAAACATGCACAGTATTACTTTTAACTTTCATTATGTCCCGTCTCGAGATGTCAGCCGACCGCCACCAAAATGTATTTCTGTCGCCCTCATCATATCTTTTGTACCCAGCCTAACATCTGCCGCCTTGTTTTTCAGAACTATTTGGAATCGATATTGTACGGCCATGTTACGAAAATTATTGCCCAGCCTAGAACAAGCCTCGTGGACTGGATCATCCAATAAACAAATGTCAGCTGCTGATTTGATTCAAGAGCTTCAGCATATTCTTGCATCACACAAGGTATAACTTTCATTTATCAATAATGAGATAACGGAAATTTCATCCATCAACTTTTAAACGAGGTATCAAAGCTTAAGATAAGCATTATTACCATTTATTTCAAAAAATTCAAATGTCTTGCCGACAAGAGTAAGCCAAGTTTCCAACTGCACACTCAAATGATTAAATGGTAATAGGTCAAAATGTCCAAAAAATAATGTCCAAAAGTCAAAATGTCCAAATGTGAGATTAGGCATTGGTTGAGTTGTTATTGGATTTTTGGGTGCAGGTTTGCAAGCTGTTGGTGAATGCAGCCATAGAGACAGATGCGTCGAATAATGGAGAGATGCAGGTTAGGCAAAAATGGTGATAAAATTGTGCATGAGAGCAGGCAAATTCTTACTTTTAAAAAACGCATTAGTGATTTATTTTCCAAATTTCAAGTGATATTGACAATCATAACAAACATGGCTAATATTACCCCGTTTGTCTCGAAAAGCCAAAAAAAAAAAAAATGTATTCTTGTCCATAACAACTTCCTTTATCAACGTCACTTTACTTATAAGGACACAACCGTACATTGGCGTTGCGTAGAGCGATCGACTTTTTCAACAGTTTTCGACAGTTCAAATTCCTTGTAACCAATGTGAAATAAAAACGTTGATATCTTCGTTAGGAGTTGGTTTCAGTAATTTTCGATGTGCGAATCGTCTTCTACGCAAAATTCTGGTGAAGAAACATGTATCAGATCGCTTAAATTCGTACCTTGTCCAATGGTCCATTACTCTTTCCATTAATTTGGACATTCACCTACTTTTGGACTTACTTGTCCGCTGGACATTAGTAACATTTGGCCTTTTTAGATTTTTAGGCATTCAAGGTTTGGACATTTTGACTTCTGGACATTTTTTTTTTGGACATTTTGACCTATCACCGATTAAATGGCAAATTTTTCAACAGAGCAATGTTCCTTGTATTTATTGAGATTTTTTTGGCCTCTGTAAAATCAAGGAAATTGCAATGTTAGAACCGAAAATTAATCCGTTAGGAACATTAGATGAATTAGCTGAGACAGAGGCAACATTTAGTGCAAGATTTGAATCTAATAGAACTTATTTGCTGATGAGTGTAATGCAAACATTCAATCAATTCAAAAATTGACAAAATAGAGAATATTTAATCACCCTCCTCAAGATTTTATCAATGAAATTGTAATAAGTCCATATAGCTTCTCAAAGAAAACTTCTACAAGAAAGCATGTGAAAGAACCATTACACGAATTTATTTAAAAATTTCAAGGTCTCATCTCACAGAGGGTATAGGAGAATCACTAGAAATATCAGAAAAATTCATGAGGTGGTTCCTCCGTAAAGGAGTAAAATGTATGTAAGAAAAATTGAAACGGCGCAATGGGCCTGTTGCAAACTTTTGCTAGAGCAAAAATAAGAGTTGTTTCTTATAGATAATGCCTCAAAAATCACGATGAGCGCATCGGCAAAGTCTGAAATGCACTCATAACTTCACAGTCTGCGTAAGAAATTTGCGGTTTTTTGAGCTTCCCGCTTCAAAAACGATACTACGGCACAGGTGAACATTTTGTAAGAGGAGTCGTTCCATCGTCGGCAATAATCATCATGGCCGACGCCAATCCGCCAAAACACGTTTGATGGGACGAGATAACACCTGAACTGGATTAGACCAGATAACAATCGGTGTGTTATCGTTCATATTTTCCACGCCCGAATCGATTGACCTTGAACTCTCCTCGAATTACGCGCGGAACTGCGCGCAAGCGTCGGCCATGATGAATATCGCCGACGACGGAGCGACTCCTCTAACAAAATGTTCACCTGTGCCGTAGTATCGTTTTTGAAGCGGGAAGCTTAAAAAAACGCAAATTTCTTACGCAGATTGTGAAGTTATGAGTGCATTTCAGACTTTGCCGATGCGCTCATCGTGATTTTTGAGGCATTATCTACAAGAAACAACTCTTATTTTTGCTCTAGCAAAAGTTTGCAACAGGCCCATTGAGAAACATTTCTCTATGTGGGCTGTCAAGTGGTCCATCAGTATTCTGCCGAGCTAAGGAAGAACGCCGTATGAAAATTCGAGAGTTGCCAAATTTCCCTTGATAAAACATGTATTTTTAACGACATTCATGCACATTTTTCTTTGAAATTTTCAGATATTTTAGAGTAAATTGCTCTCAAAATTGTCTAAACATTTTGAAAAAAAATATTCACAATTTTCCCAGTAAATTCAGTTTTTTTTTATCAAATGAAATCTGGCAACGTCTGAAGGCTCTTACAGCGTTCTTCCTTAGCACGGCAGTATTTTCCAAAATATCTAAACTGTACTCTTACGATATTATCGAATTTTTGCAGATGTGTGGTTTTCCAATAAACATGCCTTATACAAACGTGAACGATCTGATGGAAGCAGTCAAAGCAACTGGCGTTCATACAAATAATTGTGAAGATGTTGAGTTTTCTCTTGCGGTGTACATACACGTCTATCCTGCTCATGTTTTATCAGCATGGGTCTATGTTACATCTCTAATACGTCGGAGATAGTTCTTGTTCTTGAATCTAAAATTTCTCATCACAAGAGCTGATTGCGTTGCAATGTCGTTGAGAACTCACAACTTCCCAATTAATGCCTATTGGATATTCTAATGGTCAAAGTCTTAAGTTTTAATATTATTTCACTCTCAATATGTGTGATTTATTAAATATTGGAGCAGTGGCAAGGAATTCTTGCAGGGTTGTAGTCCTGTTTTTCTGAAGTAAAATTTTGTGAATAAACCAAAAAAATCATTATTAAGTTCAAAAAATCATTTCTAAGGGGAGATGAAAATCCGACCAATCAAGAGCCAACGGTCAAGTTAATGTAACATAGGCGATGCCTGGAGCTGATTTCAACCAATCAGCAAAAGCCGGTTCCCCCCTCCTGGCTACGTTGTCAGCTTCTGTCAATGATATCGTTTCAAACGGCTCCCATTTTTGGCATTTTCAAAACGGGGTTTCTTCGCCCTTCACAGTTGAAAAGAATCTGAAAAAATTGCTAGAAATTTAATTCACTCGCTGTTTTTTTCTCAAAAAATGAATTGGAAAAATATAGGTGCCACAGACCCATTAAAAAATTAAAATGCCAAAAATATTGGCAATATAAAGTTTTAATTTTTCAATTTTGTATCTTCAACTCAGAAAGGTATTGATGTGTAACCACAATATATGCAATTTTGTAAGTAATTTTTCAATAAACATACGTAATTTTTTGACATGTTTACTCTAACAGTGTCATTTTTTCCAGTTTCAAAATTTAAGATAATTGAGGAGCTTTCCAGAATAAGGGCCCATAGCAAAAAATTGCCTCTAAGAAAAATGCAATTGAAGGTTTCATTATTACTCTCCTGCCACCGACGGTATAATTTACATCAGAAATTGGAGTCCAAGCTCCACTTTAAGTCACTGCCTGTGGCCAGAAAGTAATTCTGGAAATTTCAAATGCACTTTTCTCAAAGGAAATTTTTTGCTGGGGGGGCCTTTTTCTGGGAAACTTCCTAAATGTTATAAATTTGATAACACTGATATGTGCCCATTCAATTAAAACCATTAGATTCTTTAAAATGAATTCAGCAAGAAAACTGTCTATGTCTGAACTTGCTTCCTGTTAATGCCCTTTTAATATAACATGATAAATCAGCCGTTAAGGCAGTAATGGACCTTTTTCCAGAGAGTTGTGAAATGGACTCCTCTCGTGATGGTTTTACGTAACTAATGGTCTCCTAGTATCATGCTGATTGGGCAGTTTCCATCTAAAACCCTCCCATAACGTTTCGTCAAGTAGGGAAAGATTAGAAAATGTAAAGGCAGGTTTGTCTCTTTTGACAACATTTGGACTACATTTTGCAATTAGGAACTAAAATTTCTGATTAAGTTTAAAAACAATGCATGTACCGTTAGTTCCCTATGCAAGTAAGTGTTCCTAATGATGAGCCAAAAATGAAAAATGACGTCCATTTTGAATTCATAACTCCTTTAACACAATGCATCATTCTTTAAAAACTCATGCTGGTACTTTCTTCGGAAATGTGGCTCCTCAAATAAAAAATGTTTTATCCAACAACCCTCTTTTCCTGGCTGCTGTGTAAAAACCTTGAAAATTTAGTGGGCATCACACAGCAGAGAATTGCAAAAACTCATGTCTCTCAAAGTATCAATTTGTTCAAAAATTCCATCCTCATTCAAAGGTGATATCCAAGTTTTTGCAATGGCCGAATTTCATTGTACTTATGTTACTCATGCTGTCAGATATAACATAATGGGTACATAATACGATTTATAAACACGTATTACATGCTTTATCATTTTCGGTAAAAGCTATATATAGCTCTGGAGAGCTACCTACTCGATGGACAATTTACTAATAAAATGGTCCTGTAAAAGACACCTTGCTTTCCAAAAGTACCTATCCCTAATTTCAAAGCTCATGAATTCTTGGCATCTGGACCTATTTTTAAAAATAAAAAGTTTAACTGCACACCTTTTCAACGGTGAATCAAGTTTTTTATTGCTTTATTCTTCTCAGAGAAAGACTTTTATCACCAGAGTATGAGACTTGGATGGACACAGTGATGTCATGCAGTAGGTAGGTATCCTCAAAAAGTAGTCCATATTATGAATCATCATTTGAATGCGGCGAAAAATGCGCATCTCCATTGCAATGTTTACAAATTTTAAATTATATTTTATTTTCTTCAAAGAGAACTAATCAAAATTTGTCCTCGCAAATTTGAGTAACTTTTGTTGATTGAGCGAGGAAAATTCACAGAAAATTTTCCTAACAGAAACTATGGGTTGGTTTTCATTTAAAGGAATTTTAACATTAGCAGAAACTTACAACTTCCAAATTCGAGATAAGTATACATTTTCTGCAGCCATCGTGATCTCATCTTTTATTATTATTTTATATTATGAGCATGGGCGGAAGTGCGGATCTAGGAATTTCTTGGGGGGGGGGAGGCACAGAAGGATATATGGCTTGTGCTAAGGGGGGACTCCCCCAGCTGTAGAGGGGGGTTCAGGGAGCTTCCCCAGGAAAATTTTTGAAAATTAGAACATCTTGGGAGCAATTTAAAGCCATTCTCATTGACAAATTAAATGGAATTAAATATTGCAGATGACAGAAATTTTGCTGACTTGTTTTTAAAAATATCATATCTTTCTGTGGGTTTTAATTGAATATATCTTAATTTAACTCTTATGAAAACAAGTATTGCGCTAAAATGCGGGAAAAACCACCACCGGGTACAGTTAAATTACATTCCATGTTCCTTACTCGGAGAAAGCTATGCACACTTTGCGAGTAATTTTCATTTTTCTGATATCTTTGATCGATTATATTAGGATTAAGCTCATATTTATTACATTCCATATGCCTTTCACCTCAAAGTGAATTAAGTAGTAGCTTGGTTCCTTAACATTTTTGGACGGGACCGAGCAGCATTGTGGGGAGGGGGGCGCCCCCCCCCCTATTTCCGCCCATGATTATGAGAATATATACTTAAAGTATGCAAAGTTATCTAAAATAAACTAACAAATTACCCTCTTAATATTTCCATACCCCATCCAAGGCCGCAGTATCTACCCGATAAAACGCCTTTAAACCATAAAAAAAAAAAAAAAAAAAAAAAAAAAAAAAAAAAAAAAAATGCAAAGGGAAAGAGCTTCAAAACATTGACTTTCATTGCGATTTTACTATTCACGTTTAAAAGCCGCAGAAGAATATTCTGTCCAATCTGTCGGTGACGACCAAATTTTAAAATTCGCGGTAAAATGTTGTCAACCCCTAGATCTAATTTGCCCATTTTTCCCCTGTTATTTCAAATACTATGAAGTTTGTCATGATATGACAGTACATATGCTTTAAAACTCCTGGAACCCTAAAAAACTCATTTATTCTTAAATTAAAATCATTGGATGTAGCATTTGACTTTCATTAATAATTAATTAGAAAAGAGTACCGTAACTCTAAAGTTACGCGCGAGTAATTTCGATGCTGTTGAACGACAAGCTTGCCATTGACAAAATGGTTGATGTTTGGATGTTTGTTACGTGCGTTCGAATTTACAACTTTTCCAAACGGCCACATATTTAGGCCTCCTATATACTAGAAAAATGAATTGGCTTCCACATATTAATTCTATTAAACTTAAAATTTCTTGTAAATTAAACATCTTGTCATATCTACATGGTTGTTCTTGGGGTATTAACCAGGACGTTTCTCGAAAACTTTTCATGAGTATGATTCGCCCGATTCTTGATTTTGGCCTCCCAATATACTGTAGAAATTTTAATCTTATTGAAAGAACTAATATACTCCAAAATTCTTGCCTACGTAAAACTTTAAGTGTTCTTAGATCAACCCCTACCAATAATCTAAACGCTGAGTCAGCTATTCCCCCTATCCTTAATAGATTTAATTTCCTAACAGATAAACTTCTAATCAGAGCAATGAGCATTAATCACAGCCCCATTATAAGGAATATAAAGATGCTTGAGAGATCAATTATGAATAGTAACTACTGGGTTAATAAACAACACCCACTTTTTCTTAACAGATGGATTCTGAGAAATCCTTTACTTCCCAAAATCTTAAAAAGCGATTTGCCGTGCTCGCTCATGAGAGATCCTGTTTTCCAATTTTTCCAACCTAATACCATCTTCTTAGACATTCCTAAAAAAAAACTATCTGATCACATTTCAATCCAAATGAACTTTAACGAATTAATGAGATTAAAATTTAGGAACTTTACCCAGTATTATACTGATGGCGCCAAGACGGCTGAATACACCACGTCAGCCTTTCTCTCTAATGAATTCTATAAAGTCTATTCTCTATCGGAATATAATTCTATATTTGAAGCCGAAACGTGGGCTATTCTCCAAGCTGTTGAACACAGTATTAGCCTTAATCTTTCCAATGTTGCAATTTGTACAGACTCTCATAGCGTATTAGTTAACCTGATTAATCAACAACCGGACCTCCACCCCCTCATTGAAGAAACTAAAGAAATCTTGTTTAGATACCGTGAAAGGAATATTTGGCTGATCTGGATTCCTAGTCACTCAGGAATATTAGGTAACGAAAGAGTTGATCAATTGACTAAATCTATTCATTTAGCTCAGCCAATTGATAATAAAATCTTTTTTAAACAATTGTTCCCCCTTATCTCCCAACAAAACTTTAACGATTGGAACTCTGATTGGATAGCTTGTACGTGGAAAGGCCAAAGACTAAAATCTCTTCTCCCTACTCTCTCTCGTAAACCTTGGTTTTATAAACTTGATTGGAAACGCTCCCTTATCACGAATCTAATTAGACTTAGAATTGGTCATGGCCTGTACCCCACTCACTTGTTTAGAATTAACTTAACAACCTCTAATTTGTGTGAATGTGGTTCCATTGGAAACCTAGAACATATCCTTTTCCAATGTGATAAACTTAAAAATAGAAATACCCTTTTTTCTGAACTTATAAATAAATTTGAAATCTTCCCACCCTATTCAACCCTATATCTTCTTTCGGTCGGCGACCTCAATACCCTTAAATCCATAGCCCTTTTTCTAGATAAAAATGGAATCCACCTCTAATCTACCAAATCTTCATTCTTACACTAATAATTTCCCTATATTTAATTTTCACTTCCACCAACCGTCTTACCCTCTGTTTTATTCAATCTACCTTTTGTCCAAACAAATCATTCTCTCTAACACATTCAATCCCTACCGTATGTTCACTTTGTTTGTTTTCCATTACCCAGTCTCTGGTCATAGGAAGTCGCTCTGCCGGGTATCAGAGCGTGAAAATGGTGAAGGGTTCTCACCCTCTCTCTACTCAACTCCTCTTTTTTATCAATCTTTCACCTTTTTCCATGTTTTTAGTTTTTTCTTTTGCACACCTCTAAAGTCGGTAACTAGTCACCTGTAACCTTTTCTCTACACTATCACACTAGTCTAAAGTTGGCTGCAGGTGCTTAGACACAAAGCCATAAAACGACAGAAAAAAAAAAAAAAAAAAAAAAACTTTTCCAAATGCCCATAAATTACTCTCTTTTCCCGTGAATTCTTCCGTATTACCCCTTACTAGAAGTGGAAAAAAAGTTGGTGAAGTGTATTATTGTTTTGGGTACACTTGTAAGTGATGAAAGTTCCTTTTTTCACAATGGGCTGATCACGATGTTCGTGATGCATGAGTTATGCTTTGATTCTGCCGTGTTTTCTTGCCCTCGGAAATGAAGACAAGCACTCCTCACCAAGGTACCTAAATTTCTATGGACTCTCCTCTCTCATTTCAATTTCACGCTGCCGTGCATTGTGAGATTCCCTGAATTTCTCAATCGTGGCGCGACAAATTTTCGTGACTGATCTTCAAGCAAGCCCCACTTTAATGTAGTCAGTCTGCCTGAAAGCTTTGTTTTCCATTATGCAGTTGCAGGGAATTCCACTTCTCTGGCAGCCGAGGTTTGCATTTCCATTATGGTGGTCTCAGTTTAAAAAAATAATTTTTTAGGTATTTGTTGCATTAAATATGTAGCCAATTATTTTCAACTCAACGCCAATGCCACTGCTGTACTCGCAGCGTCTATTACCCCACGGTATTAATTTTGGACTGATCAACTTGTTCCACGGAATCCGTCCTTTGTTACAGCATTATTTGATTGCCATTGACGTTTACAGAGCAAAAATTTTAAATTACAAATTACCAAGTATGTGTATATTCCATACTTTTTGTTAGTTGAGTTCTGTAAATGTTGTGACGGAACAAAGTTAGGGCTGATGTTACTCAAGCTGGGAAGTATTCACAACTCCAGGTTTATTCAGAACTTGCTAAAATTGCCGACATCTCATCTCTAGGAGCAGCTCTTTTTTGAACTGAGGGTATTTGTTGTAAACTACTACCTCAAAATACATGTATACGGTGCCACTGGTGGCATTATTTCAAGAGTTGACTCGTTAACTGGTTTGTTGGCACTATTGGTACAGGCAGTATTAGCATATACATCTTCTAGAACTATAATTGGAATGATTAGAATGTCCAGAAATGTCTTCAACTCGGCTGACTTTACGATCGATTTAGTCAAGGCTTTTTCAACCATGTGGCCAATCTATCGAGAGATTGCCAGCCGCCACTCTAGAATAACATGGCGACTACCAATCAGGTGTAACTAGGAAACAATGCTATGATATAGGAAGACTACAGTTTGCAAGTATGGAGTGGGCATAGAATTACGATTTTGACTTGTCAGAAACTTTGTTTATACTTGTAGAGGTTAGGTTCCTTAGGTCTAGGTTCTCTGGTAATGGTAAAATGATCATAAAGGGTTTTCTTTTATTGGTAAGCAAATTATTGGTGGTACCTAATTGATTGCCATCGAAGAACATGTCTGCGTCAGATTATTCAGTTGTCATTATTGTCGATTTGGAGGTTGGGTTTTACTATGTGTGGATTGTACCGAAGAATCTTTTGGTTCGCTGTGATCATTGATCGGAGTGATTAGTGGTACCAAATCCCATTTCCGTTCCTCCATTACCTTTATGATGCAATGTGCTTGATAAGAAGAAATCATCCAAACCTCCAATCTCTGAAAGATGACTTTAAGATTAGACACGTAAAAATAAGTACCTACTAGAACATTGTTGGGTGAATTGCTGTGGAAATAAATCCCTAGCAGTTGATTTAATTTAAACTTTTTCCGTATTGCAGATTCATGAAGAGTTTTCTTCATCTTGGGTGACCATGATTAAGTACATAAAAGAAGAGGCTCTTGTGTCGAGCACTCAAGATGCCTATCACTATATGGATTCAGGAGGTAAGGATCAACGCATTATTAATCTTTTAATTTTTTGGAGCTTGGGTAGATTTTTTAAAGTAACCCCTATTAAGAAATATACTAGTGTTTTCTGATGCATTTATTCTCACTACCCGCTCAAAATGGAAAAGCAATATTTCACTCGAGTTAAATCGCACTCTAAACAACAACCCCCTAAATGAGCCTTGAGAAAGAACTTTGCCTATTGAGAAGCCTGCTGAAAGCATTGCAGTGTGTTATCTGAGTCAAGTGAACACTGGTTTTTTTATCATTAGGAAGTTCCAATTTTTCTTATCCAATGCTAAATAATAATGTTGATGTTTTGATTTGGAGTTGATTTCAGTAATGTTTGCTGCGTAAATCTTGTTCTCTAGGAAATTTTGAAGAAGAAACATAAATCCAAATGCATTACTTTGTACCTTGTCTAGTGGTCCATTGTTCATTATATGTGGTCACATAGGTACCTAAAAAATTCATTTGCCTATGAATTTTCAAATTAATCCAAATAGAATGGGACCAAGTGACATGATGGCTCTTTGAGGTAGTCCAAAGTTTAACAACATGTCCATTTTTACCCTTATACATATTTTGTAAATTCCGCAAGAGACATTTTATGGTACTAAGCAGATGAGTGTGTTAGTACTATAGTTTAATGGTAATTAATTCAAATCCTAATTTTAATTTGCTCTTCACTTGGGTATCTACTTTGCATGAAACAATCTTTTTCTAATGAGTGGATCGAATTGCCAGTGCGCAGCACTTTCAAGCACCCTCCATTATGGCCTCAACTTTGAGAGCTTTTCTTGAGCTTTGGAAGTTTCAGAGAAAATCATGTTTCTCATGAAATTATATATCAAGAAGAGTACTTAAATTGGAAATCCCCGACATATGCAAGAACTCCATCGCCTTTGCGGGAGAATGTAGTAAGTTAATTTTGTATTCTTTATTGTTGCAGGGGATATATACAGTAGACCACGTCCACTGCCACCGCATTCCTATCCTGTTTCAATTCGTGATCCTCGGGTGGAGTTGCAACTAAACAGGGAAAAACAGAGAGAGCTATTGTACGCCAATGTGAAGAAGGAACCAATCAAGTCCCCTCCTACATCTCACCCCGATTCTCCTCTTACCTCTCCTCACCCTCCACAGTTGTATCAGAAAAAGGGAAACCATCAAGTTGGTCAACCAGGGCAGGGAGATTTGAATGCAAAAAAAACAAAATCCCTACCATCGCCTTCATCAGTTCCAGTTGCAGTGCAAGCTCGCCCGATTAGCTTTCCATGGGAGTCGGAGTTTCGGCTCAGATCCAAAGCTTCAATTGGGAAACCAAGCGAGAAGCACCTGGAAGAGTTGATGACATGGTACTCGAGGTATGATTTTGGACGATTTATAATCATTAGTAACATTAAGAATTTGTTCGTTCAATTATGACGCATCTTGCTTTTCAATTTAAAGAAAGAGAGCATATTAATTAAAATTTAAGTTTTGTGAACAATGATCTCAATGATTGTGAGCCTGAATTTTACAGGCTTGTCACTTTCATTGCTCACCTCCTTTAACATTTTCTCTTCCCTCTTTTCCATAAAAGGTTCTGCTCATCTTCTAAAAATATTTCATTCGTGGGTTTTGTCCAATGGCTCTAGGTAATTTAAAAGAAAAGAAAAAAAGAGAAAAAATTGGTTGCAATTCTGATTTAGATCTCAATCAAGCATTAACATTTTGGTTTTAAAGTTTTCTTTTTCAGTTGATCTTTTTCCTCATTAGTTTTACTATTTCTGAGCAGGTATGTTACCTCTGTTTAGTTTTTACTTACAGATTTTTGTTTGTATTCCAGATCAATAGCATCGAGTTTGCAAGAGGGATATTTGAAAACACAAGTTGCAGCGTTGTTGAAAAATGATATAAACAATGCTTTATTGTTTTTTCATTTGTATCATTCGGATCTAAAAAAGGTAAGATTGTGATAAATTACTGAATGAAGGGGATATGTAGCTCAAAATATCAATCGATAAGTCACAATGTTTTGCTACTGAGGGAATGCCCATTTCATTATATCTGTCCCGCGTATCATCCGTGAATCTAGGAGCAACTTCTTCCCTCTTTTCAATTTATTTGTCAGAAACTCATATGATTACCAACCAACCAAATTTACAACATTTTCTGGTCATAAGCTGATTTTCTTCATGCTGCACCTGTCAATAGAGCTCTTACATACAAGAGGAATTTGCAATTGAAGTACATTTCCTAATGTAAAATTTCGCGAAAAACACGATCGTCTTCTGGTTTTCTGCGAAAGAAAACGTCATGCTCATGAAAAGCTCTCAGAGTTGAGGCTATGATGGAGAGGATTGTGTTTTTTATGAAATTTTACATAACTAAAAATACATAAATTGCAAATCCCCATAACATGCAACAGCTCTGTTATAACTAGGGCCAACCTTTCAGCTGAAATCTTTTAATCTAGCAAATACTGCTTGAAAGAAAAGATGTTATCTTGATTTCTAACCATGAATTGAAAGCAAAATACACTTAAGGAATACATTGGGGAAGAACCCAAAAAAAATTGGAATTTTGCTGTATCTTCGCAACGGTGAAAATATCCTAATTCTACTGCTACAGGGTGTAACTAGAAGCTATGAAAAATCACTATGCCAAATTTAAACATCGTAGCACATTTTCTTTTATTTTGGCGAGACTTGGTTTAAGGGGTTGTCTGGCAAGTTCGTCATTTTTGAAGATGGGTGATTTTCATGGGCAATACGCGGCTAATTCTGTCAATTTTTGGAGTGCATCTTGCAGGGAACATGTTTCACTCATGACATGAGTGAATAAATGTTTTTCTTTGTTTTAGAAAGTGATATATTGTTCAAACTTTGGCTGGACGCCCAGCGGCGGTCTCTGGCTAGAACGCTAAATGGGGGATCAATTCGGCACCAACGCATTTTAGGCCCAAATTTTTCACAGAAATGTTTTGAATGCTTCTATATTTCATTCAAGTGATATCTGCTAGTTAATTAACTGATCTATAACTACCCTCATTCTCAAAAATGCAATTTTTGTCATTATTTGCATCGGTTCTATCTAGTGGCGATGGCAGTTTAGAGCAGGGGTCGAGAGGGTTCTCAAGAGCGAACGCCGATTTCCAGGATTTCATATGCATCGCCTCCTCGCTCGCGAGTTGAGAGGCCTTTTGTTTCGAATGCCCTCTCCGTTCGCAAACCCAAACCTTTTTGTCCGGCGCCGGCTCTTAGTTCCCGATACCTGAGGCATATTGCGGCGAAAGCGATACCCATCCCGGAACGCGATCGATTAGCGGGCTAATTCGATCGCCCTCAGAGAGGCGATGCCAATGACACTCGTATTCATATCCCATCTTGAGAGGCGAATGAAGAACGCCAGTTTATTCCCTCCTTATTCCCTCTCATCGCTCAGTGGTCGCCTGGTCGGGCGCGCCGCGCCGCGCTGGGCTGCTCATCCTGCATACGGTCCACGTTGACCCATGGTTGACCGTTGAGTCATCCTCCTTGTCCATCCCTCGGCTCCTTCGCTTCCTGCGGGCTGCACCAGGTCGTCTGAATGCACTACCAGCCGAGCACAGTTCGTTGACACGCTAGTAAGATGAGGGTGAAAACGACGAAACACCCGGACGGTTAATTTTTTCGTCTTGTCAATTTCTGGACATGTTTCGATCGGTAACCGATCATTTCAGTTAATTGTCCACCTAAGCCGCGGCAATTTCTCCCTCTGAAATATTGTTATCACACGTTTCCATTAATTTTTCTTCACCCCCCCCCCCCTCTTCTGGGTTTTGCTTGATTCTCCACCCCCTTCCCCCATTACCAATATTAAACGCATCAGGCTATGAAATATGATATTCATGTTCTTAAAATTGAATGCAACTAAATATGCAACTGCAATTCGAATACGCCAAAAACTTTCTTCAAATTTCCGTCCTTGCCGTGTATCAAAACACGTTTTATCCACCGGTTTTTCATATGTTTCATTGTTTTTTCCCCTTTTTTCTTACCTACTCATTTTTCTCTTAGTCTTTAATTCATTTATTTACTGCTATTCTAACTGAGTATTTTTTAATACTTTTTTGCATTTCATGCATTCCCTTTTATTCTACAATCCTGCAAGGGGGGAAAGAGAGGACAGGGCTAACAGAAGCGAAAGTTACTAATCTCAACCAAAAAAAAGAAAAAAAAACCGGTTTTAGGCAAGAAATCCATTTTCTCTGCATTACTTCACCTTGCACTTAGGGAATTGGGCATAAAATTTCATACCTCCAGCAATCATTATACCTCAAGTCAATTTCAGTACTTAAGTACTTCGATTTCACTTTCCAGAATTTGTAATCGAAAACCATAAGTACAGTCTCTAAATTTAGGAGCTATAAAGGTTTTCAAGAAATTTTGGATAAACTGGACCACCTTTGGTGAAGAGACACTATTCCGGTGACAATGGGAGTGCACGATTTCTGAGTTAATGATTGGTTCCATAAACGCCAACCATTAGACGGTAAACTCCTTAACAGTAAATTCATTAAATCTCTATGAAAAATATGAAGGAAAAACTACGGAGACTTGATTTTCTGTTCATAATGACCACAGAATGATACCTTGAACATAGCAACTTCGGGGTGATCTCTCCTTCCCTCTTAATTCTCCAATTAATGACTGTGGTAAAGGACGTTTCCAAATTTTTTAATTAATTAACGTCACTTCTTCTCAGAGAAATCTGGCCATTTCTTTATGAAAACGTGGGACAAAGTGTCTTCGTGACTCTCGAATTAAAAAAAAATGTACTAACAGAGTCGCACGGCACAAATTAGATATCGTGGCTAACGCGACAGCTTTGTCGCCCAGAGCGGTCTTGCACTCGAAGTCTGATGAAAAATTTGAATAATTATGAGTAGGTATATTGAAAAGGTATAGTATCGCAAAACTCGCGAATGTCTTCAGCGCTTTTAAAATACTCTCTATCACATTCTTCCAATTTTTTTAATCGGTAGCTTACCGATATACCTACTTATAATTATATATATTTTTCACCAGGATTGCAAGCTGAATCCAAATCCGTTGAAATAGTAGAACATTTTAGAAACGGTAAAGAAGTTGGTCGGCAAATTATCCTCTACCAGTAGAAAGAGGGTGTCATTAACACATGTCTGGCCGCTATCACGTTTGGCCCACGTTTTGATCAGTAACTTACCGATATAATTACTTATAATTATATATATTACTCATCAGGACTGCGAGCTGAATTTGAATCCGTTGAATAAATGAAGATTAGTTAAACTTTAAAAAAATTGGTCAGCAAATTTTCAGCGGCTAGTAGGTAGAGGGTGTCATTAACACGGGTTCCGCCGACGGAGAGAACCCCAAAAGTAAGCACAATGGGAACAATCGCGCGTCGCAGCCGGTCGAGGTCCAGCAGACCGGCGCGGCGCGGTGGGAAGATCCGGCGGTGCTATTCGAAGAAGCGCCCCCGGACCGTTTGGTGGCCGAACCAAGAAGCAGGAGTTTTCTGAAATTTCTTCTTCCATAAGCGTCCAGCCCCGTTACAAACTAGAGGCATCAAAGAGACTCATCGATTGCCCCGACTTAAACCGCTGACCAATGAGCGGGCCACGAAATGCAACGATGAACCTCTTTGAAGCCTGTAGTTGGTATGTGGGCTAGACGCTATACTGATGCGGTATGGATTTGCTTTTCATAAATTTGCGGATTTTTACCACCATTAGTGGCTGCTCACAAAGCTCATTATAAGTTAAAAAACGGTGAAATTTCGATTTTAAGAGCAACCGAGCGGAGGGACTGGGCATTGCCAAGCGAAGTGAGAGTGACTTGGGAGAAAAAAAAAAAAATTCTCTTAATGTGCAAGGTATGTGCTCGGTTTGTACACATTTTTGAACATCTAGCGTCCAGTCCCTATCACTCACTAAAATATCAAAAATAGACCGTTAAAATGCTCAAACAATCGGAAAAATCACGATCTATTGGCTGTGTGCGCGTCGGGTAAATTTTCTTATCTTTCAAAATATTTTTGGCTACCGTGGTTTTTTTTTACATAGAACCATTTAGGACCGTGCAACATTTTTTTTGGTCGATTGAAAAAAATAAGTCCCACCCTAGACACGCTTACACTTTTCAGCATTCACATCAAAGTGCATCGCTGGTGATTCCGTGCTGAGGACTAACGCTGCATAATCATTCGAGTGATGCCAAATTTCCTCCAAAAGTTTTGAATTATAGTAGGGCCCATGAAGGATGATCCCTGAGCCGCGGGTATTTCTTGCAAACACTGGCAGCAGTGAGACACCCCCGTCCGGACCGAGACTGGAGCTCGCGCGACAATGTCGAGCCGAGCCAGAATAGAACCCTAATTACTTACGCGTAATTACCAATATCACCGTCCTACTAGAATGATCCAAAATTTTTTGAAAATTGCTAAAAAAGTTTTTAGGTAGAGTTTCCTCACTCTCTGTTAAAGCACGAGTAAAAAAAGGCCTCATTTATAAAAATCTGTCAAATAGCAAAGAAGTTACAGTTCGAGATACTATATGAGATAAATAAAAATTTAACTTCGCTATAAAAAGGAGAAAAAAGGAAAAAATAAAAAGTGTAAATTACAATTAAACATCATTTAGTTCAGAATTTCACAAGCAATTCAATCATGTAATGGACGAAGAGATTGGGGCAAAATTACAGGAAATTGATCTTTTACGAAAGGGCTTCCTTTTAAGAATTTTGACCTGAAGATAGGGGTGGAATAGCAGCGGTTCGCATATAATACCTATTCTACCCTGCTAAAGAAACGCCGTATGAGCCTTTAGCCGATGCCAAACTTCCGTTGACTAAATAAGAATGTTCAGGGAAATCAGTGAATACTTTCCCTCCAATTTTTCAGAGAATTTTATTCGCTGTCAGCTCTAAATCATCTGAAAATTTCAAGAGAAAATATGCCCAATTCTGCTTGAAAATAAGGCATTTAATTGGAGGAAATTTGGCAACTCGCGAATGTTCATACGGCGTTTTTACCCAGTTTCGTAGATGTGCGTGCTCGATCTCGCAGCGTTGACATTTACATGGTCCATGCGTTTATTCGCCCGATTTTTCAGGGATCATCCTTCGTGGGCCCTACTATACTGCCTTAAAATTATTCGAAACTTTAGATCAAATTGTTCATAAAATTCTATGAAAAATCAGTAAAAAAATACAGTTGAATTTTTACGATAATCTGCGGGTCATCAAAGGAAATGTGGCAACGTCTGATGGTTTAATGGTTCATACGGCCTTCGTCTGTAGCATGGCAAAATGGGCTATAACATAAGGTGCGAATTTTAGCATTCCGAGAGGGGTGCGTTTTCCTCTTCATTCATTTTTCGGATGTGTTCAATTGTTCATATTGCTTTAAACGGATTGCATTTTGCAAGAGAGAACCACGAGCATTCCATGTTGCTAAGATTGCGCAACTATTTTCACCTTACAAATATAAACTGATCGCCTAAATAAGTTCTATCTTTACTCCCAATAAACTATAAATTCAAGCCAAAAATTACGCTTGTAAATTTAATTTCTTGCATGATTTCAGTGATTTGATATCAAAGAATGTAAGTTGCACAATCCCAGCAATATTGGAATGCTCTTGATTCCTTTTTGCAAAATGCAATTCAAATAAAATAGCTCAATAAATCTAAGAGGAGTAAAGCTTTAGTTAAGAAAAAAAAATATAAGCCAATTTCCTGCTCTCTATAATGCCGAAATTTTTCAAATGAACTGAAAATTCGAAGAAAGTCTACTCTAAAGTACCCTGACAAAAGTAGAAGAAATATGGACATTACATGTACCGATCAGCTATGAGGAATAGATGTTTAGACGTGCAGAAGTCAAAAAGCGACAAGCCCACAGTTTACGCACGAATCATGACAGGCGAAAAATAGCCAGGGTAGAGGACGAAAGTAAAAGGGGAGAACGCATGAGCACAATGCCAAAGTGAAAGGAAGAAGTGATCGGCTGTCGCGGTCCAGCGTGTGCGGACTAGCAGTGGAGGGAAGAATCCGGGGGTAAAGTCCAGTGCCTTTGCGGGCAAAAACGCAGCCGATCCAGATCAATTCGATCGGAAGCCCCGTGTGCGTCTTTCGAGGAGGGCAATCGAGATCGGGTTTTAATTCCCTCCTGTCTTACGAGGGGATGCCAATGCGGCCAGAAATTGTATCCCATCTCGGGAACTGAACAGTTTGCCCGCGCTACTGCCTCTCGTTCTTCGAACGAGAACAATAATCGCCCCATTCGCCTCTGAGTTCGGGATTCGGGATCCGAAATTCTTTTACCTGCTCTGGCCTCTTGATCGAGTATCGCGATCGAAAAGCGGCGCTTGGTCGTTCGCGAACTCGGAGGGCGATCAAATTAATTTCAATTCCCTCTCGACCCCTGGTTTAGAGGGAGCCCTACAGGGGTTTTGGGAAATGCAGCACCATTTTTAAAGTGAAAAACTGTACTCATACTGAAGTTTTTGATGAGGCTTGTCCTCTAGAAGCAGCATTTCAAAATGTTAACAGAGGAAGTCGTTTTTTTATCGAGTAAGAGAGAAAAACTTGAGCGCTAAGTGTTATTACTGAAATTGACCCATCTTCAAAAACTACGATCTCATCAGACAACTCCTTAAAGCAAGTCTTGCCAAAATAAAAGAAAATGTGCTACGAAGTTGAAATTTGGCATAGTGATTCTTCATAGCTCCTGGTTACACCTCCTAGCGGTGGAACCCGAATATTTTCCATCATTGCCAAGTCACAGCAAAATTCTGGTTTTTTTGGGTCCCTCCTCGTACAATGGAAAGTTGACTCATTTGTGAATATTAAGGTGCTGGGTGCACTGGGAATTGTCAAAGGAAAAAAGTTCAACCAACAAATTACCAACAATTTCACAGAAGTAACCAAATTTCTTGTTGTTCAGTTTTCCTCTTAATTCCAAGATTTTACTGTCAGTTAAGCACTATTGAAAAAATCATTCATTTGCCCGGAGTAACTAGCTTATCTTGTAATGAAGACTTCTTTCTTTATTTGTTTTTTTCTTAATTTCAAAGGTGCTCTAAAAGCAGTTCACCTGCTTCATTTACTTGGTTAATATTTTTCTTTTTTTTCCTCAGCCTCTAGAGCACACATGCTATTTAGACAAAATGGTCGATTTGATGGCAATTTATTTGGATTTAGAAATCAAAGCATCACGGTAAGATTATTTTCACAGTTTATTTCTTCCAAACAACTTTACTTAAATTTTTATCCTTAAGTTCTAAGGGATCACGTTTAGTATTCCATCTATAGTTTGAGCATTGTGAAAGGTTATCTAGGCATTGTCATTTATTTTATGGTTCTTAAAATAACTACACGGCGCTTATGGCAAAAAGTACTCTTGAATTACATATCAAAGTTTAGAAAATCATTTTTGCTGCAAGTTGCTTTTTCCATGCAGAAGTTCCTAGTAAGAGAGGAGAAACTTACAAAAAATAAAGAAAAGCCACCAATTACCAAGTTTACTCTGGCTGTATCATACCCATGTACATTACACCCCATTTATGTTTTCCGTACTGCGTACATGGGTATCTTTTTCTGCCGTCCACAAAATGGACAGGGGCACCAAAGAATCTATATCATAGGCTTAACATGTGAAAACAGTCGGCAGGATTGCTGTAAAGTAATTGAGATCTTTAACAGAAGGGTCCGCAATAGTCCGGGCGTGTTTGCTCTTGGAGCGGTTGGACATGGCAAGGACAAGCAGCAGTGTATATGAGACAATAGCTACCTGTTTGTTAAGATTAGGTAGAGTGAAGAAACAAAATCAAACATGTTTTATGGGCCTTTGCATTTGCAATCTTCTATTCTTTAACTCCTCCCTTTAATCCCATGACCTAAATACTTTTCCCCCTTTGCTAAATTTTAATTATTGATTAGCTATGATTCTGAGATCTATATTTGAGAGATTGATATTTTCTTGTTTTCAGTTTTAGTAATGATAAAGTAATCCAGACAAAATTGACGCAGTCGCTGTATATTCTTCTTGGTGAGTATTTTGAAATGTAACCTATTCAAACTTACACTGCATAGGATACGTGCAATCTGCCATTCTTAATTTACATTGAATTTTTTAAATACTTTTAGTTGAAATAATATCTGCTATAGGTCAATAATGTTTCAAATTTTACCTTATTTTTTCCCCCTTTTTTGGGGGTATCAGAAGCTCTGTATTGAGGAATGTTCAGAAAGAATAACTTTCTTACAATATTTTGATGAGTATACACACACAACAATGAATCGCAGAACAACCTGTAGTGTTTTTGTTTAAAGTCTGAGATAATTCATATCAGAAACAAAAGAGAGAAATGCCAATCAGAAACTGGCTATCTTGTACTAAAATTTCAAGTTGTCTCAAGTTTTTTCAGTGTATAAAATAAACTTCCTTGGAAGTTTCATTTTGCTTACTTTATAGCAAAGTGGTATTCAGTGATCATGCAACAGCTCTACTTTTGCATTTCCAAAGAGGAACTCTTCATTTTGGAATGAATTGTATCTTACAAAAATGTAAAAATGTATGAAGAAAAGATGTATGTCTCCCTGACTTCGCAGTCGAGCTGTACAGTTGTCTCGGTGTTGATAACAGAGTATCGAAACCCCCATCTTTGCCGAATTCAGCTCCGATGTTTTTGTTTGATTTTAGATTGCTTTAATACTGAAAGTGTTGATTTTTCTTTTTGTAGACCATTCCATTGATCATATACTTGATGCGTTGTTGAAAACGAAACTGTTTGTTAAGAAGTACGTGGATATTTGCTACTCAATAATGTGGTAAGTTAGTGCCCATTTTATTTCATTTGAAAAATTTTCCCTTCTCCCTTCTTTTTCTCAAACCATGAGATTTTTTGCAATCGGAATGATGTATTATATCTTGGTTCAAGCCAGCCCGGTCCCAGGTTTGATCGGCGATGCAACAGGATTTTTAGATCTTTTGAAAATCTGTCTTTGTGGCCGTGGGTAACCATGCCACTTTATTACATCATGTGTCTCTCAAGGACCAAAGGATATGGAGAGACATGGCCCTCTGGTAATGGTCATTCATCCCTGTTTCACCGTGTTGCGATTACATTGTGGATCATTCATAGTGAACGTAACTGCCAGCATCACCTTTGAGTAGGAGACTGAAACAACTGAGTCCAACTCGTTGGAGGCATGGTCGTATTCCACAATGGACCACTAGGCAAGGTGCGAATTTCAGCATTCTGATACATGCTTCTTAACCAAAATTTCATGTAAAACACGATGTGCACAACGAGAATGACCGAAATCAACTCCTTGCGAAGATATTCAATGATTCTTGGTGCGTGAATTCAAACCACCCGCTCATGAGAACTCAATGCTCTACGTGATTCACATCGCGCTAAACGTTATCATGACACTCTTTGCGATATAGAAAACTGGCAACCTCAATCTTGACAATTTGGCTCAGCTATAGCAAATTGCTTATAGTTTGAACAACACATGGTGGGAAATGAACATTGCTCGATCGAGAAGATTGCTGAAACCGTCGTAGTGCGCGATTTGACTCACGTAGAGCTTTGAGTTTCTTGTGAGCGGGCAGTTCAAATTCCTTGTAACCAATGTGAAATAAAAACCTTAATATCTTCGTTAGGAGTTGGTTTCTGCAGTCATTTTTGTTGCGGGAATCGTGTTCTGCGTGAAATTTTGGCTATGAAACATGTATCAGAATCCTTTAATTCGTACCTTGTCTAGTGGTCCATTCTGCCCTTGATAGTTTTTCTGCCATAGCTGCTGATATGATCACTTATCCTTGCAACATGAAGTGGAACATTATAACAAATAAGCATGAATAAGGAGTATGGTCCAACAAGCTCCTCCATTCTTCCTCGACAGGCTGGAGGTCCTTGCTCAAAATTGGGCGGAAAATAAGACTACCACAACTACTACCACTATCATATTTATTTGGTAGTAACAACAATTCATGTTGGATTGAGGATTTGTCCATGCATCTTCAATCACAATTTTGGGACTTTTTGTCATCCTCATGGTTTTATTGTGGTTTTTACAATTTTTCCAGGGTTTTCATAAAACTTGAAGGTTTTTTAATGTAATTTACCTGGTGGCATCGAAGGGAATCATGGATAGTATCATAAGTTTTACATATGATGTATTCTAAGCATGGTGTCTAGGACTGGGAACAACGGGGATTCATCAGGGAATGAAAATTTAAGAGAAAATAGAGACAAATCAGGTTATCTGTTCCTGAATCCGGAAATTACTTCTTTTACCGCTTAGAGACCATTTTGTCATCAAATTTTACGGATATTTTCTGTACCTAATGTCACTAAGGTTTATGTTTTTGCACCTGAACCGCCAATATTGACCTTTCGAATGGCTCAATTGAGTTTCAAATCATCATATTAATAGAGAAACTTTCATTGATCAGGTAATATAAACATCAGAAACTCTTCTGGAGTTAATAAGTTGAATGTGCACCAAAGAATCGACTGAAAGATGAAAAAAATTTGACATTCATATCCGAAACTCGGAAAATTATATAGTTTGTCTCCAAAAAATTTCATAGAAGTGGGATAAAACTTTGGTTTCTTATCAGGCAATGAGCTTTTGCAAATCAGGGATTGAGCATGGTCAAGAATTCTGGACACCCTGATTTTAAGGCGCCATTGGTGTTTGGAATGTCCCAGCTGATGCCATTTACAATCGCATGAAAATCAAGCCAAACTTATCAGAAGTGGGTACATGGAGACATTAATGGCGTGCTTTGCCATATATTGATTGATCTGCCATTTAAACCTATGAAAAAGGATCGATGAACAGGGTGTTCGCAACAAATGCCTTAAATATCGATCTTTACCATAGCTTCAAATGGGGAAATATTGATAATCGGTCCTTGAAGGCCTCGCCACTGGTAGACATGGTAAATCAAATGTGCAAAATGGACTGCTCAAATAGTATGTTCAGAGTGTATTTTCTACTTCTCTGGTATCCTCACCTTAATTTTTGTATTATTTTTTTAGAGTCTATCTTTGCAGTCAGTCAGCTGTAGCCCACTCTGCTGTGTCAAGGAAGAATGCGATATAAGCCTCCAAACATTTCCATATTTTTTCTAATAAGAAACAAATTTAAGGAAAAAGTTTTAATTCTTTTCTTCAAATTTTTCAGATTAATTTTTCAGGATTTAACCTAAAATATCTGAAAATTTGAAGGAGAAGATGTATAACTTTTCTCAAAGATGAAAATTTTATCAAGGGAGATTTGGCAACTACTAAAGGCTCATACTGCATTTTTCCTGAGGATGGCAGCATTTTAAATTGATCTTTTTAAATCTTTCAGTTTCCGTCGAATAATTCATTTAAAAAGAATAATTGTTATTCCTGGAAATGAAAAGTCAGCGCTTAAGATTCCTTCAAAAGATATTTTACAAGAATTTAATTTTCAATTACTAAGGTTGCACTAACCATTTGCAGATTTTTCACACATACATTCACAGAAAAATTTTTCCCTTTTCGATTTCAACTTCTAATTCTTTTTTCTATTTGTTCCAGTCGAGTACTTTGTGATCCACCTCAAATCCCCATGTGTAATTTCTCTTACATAAGATACATCTTAGCATTTAAAATGTGGAAGAAACTTGTGAAAACGAAAGAAGAGAAAATAAAAATAAACAAAATGGCTGTGTCAAGACTGCAAACACCACGTGACTTTCTGTCCAGGATTGAGGATATCTCTGGTGTTTTTCCAAAAATTCCAAAGAAAATGAAAGATGTCACACTATATTTACTGCAAAGTGAATTTGACATCCCGAAATCTGTACAGGTAAGCTGTTTCACTCGGTGTAATTTACTTTCATGACTTCTCGTTTTTTTTTAAAATCTGGCTACTGTTCCTGTCCATTTGTTGAATTTTTAGTGGAACTGATCTCGTAATTGAATGAGTTCTGGAAAAATGCCGATAAAACATGGGCGAGTTCGTTGCTCTCATTAGTCTTATTTGGGCCGCTGCGGTTGAATGCTGCTGCTTGTCCAGTAGCAGCTGTTGGAAGAAACGAGCAATTTTTTTTCCCTTCCTCAATTTTAAAGACACAGCATGACAAAAAAATGACAAAAGACTTAACTCAGCATATTAATGAAGATGGATTTCTGGATAAGTAAAGAAGGGTTTAATGATGATTTTCTAGTTGAAATTGTAGTAGAAGCAATGGGTTTCTAGACGAGGTATGAATCGAAGCACATTACAGCATGTTTTCTCCTTAAAATTGCATCAGAGAAACAAATCGCCCTGTGTAAAGTCTAGAAATCAACTCACAAACAAGATTTAAGTATTTACAATGAACATAGGTTAAGTAAATAATTTGTATAGTCTATGACTTTCATGTGATCTGTTTAAATATACTTCGTAATACCTCGTTCAGAAATTGATTTCTAAAATCCTTGCAGTGTGAAACGTTTTCTATTCAAGGGATTGAAAAAAATATGACTTTTTTCCAGTTGAAACCTTGTCTACTGGCCAGTTGTTTTGCAGTAAAGGCTGTTTTTACTTCTACAGTCATTGTTTTTTTGTACATCAGTCGTCTTTTCTGGTTGTCTGTTTCTAACTCATTTATTTCTCTAAAATGCCTGAGCTGAACACGCTTCCCCCTCAGTTTTTTGCTGGTACTTTTTAGAGTTAAACCAATTATTTTTGACTCTAATTATGATTTTTGGAACTTCTTGGCTTTGTTTTCGCCGTGAAATGGTGCGAACCCAGCACCATTGCTCCACCTTGTTTTATTCTCAAAGTAGGAAATATGAGCTAGAAGAATTGTGAATGTTAATCAATCTTTCATGTTACAGGCTTTCATAAAATTTGCCCGCGATCCAAAGAATTTAGAATTTGACGATAATTTACTACCAAAAATCATGCAGCCTTTATTTTCCCCGGAAGAAGCCACTCTCAATGGCTTTTCCTTTGAATTCTCTGAAATTGAGGTATGAATTTTAAACTTCTCGCTCTTATTTCAAAGTATTATTTAAATATGATCATGACAGAATGCAGGGATTTCTAGAACCTTGGCAATTTGCCTTAAACTTGTGTTTTGTCCCTCCAGCGGAATCCCTTATGGGATTAATAGACAGGATTAGGAATCAAACTTCCTTACCAAAATCCCATTTTGAATGAGATGAACTCATTAATTATTATAAAATGTAACTCATCAGTGAAAAACATTTAAAGTTTTTCACAGCGTTATAAATAATGTCATAAAAAGCGTTTTTCACAGCCCTCAATCCAAACTGCCCATTTGCCAAAATTTCAAAGTCAGCCTAAGTTAAATTAAGCTCAAAACTAATTTTAGTGCTTTTTACAATTAAATAATTTTCCAAGTGTGTCGAATATTTGTGATAAGTTTTAAAATAAATTTACCAGAAATTTTAGTAGAAACTGTCGGTTAATTTTCCTTTTAAAACATAAAACATGATCGCAGACTTACAAAATTGCACTTTGAGTTGTGCAATTTTTTACTTGAGCCATTGGTATAGTTTTGGATTTTTCTCCTAAAACATTTATGTCAAGTCAAATCTTACGTAGAGAGCAAAATAAATTATAACGTTAAAGCTTAAGTGCAGCCTGCAAAGTTATAGGATTACTCTCGTTGACTAATTCCTTGTTTTTGTTTTTTCAGAAACATCATTCAAGGAATCTAGCTTCGGAAGAAAGCTCGCTTGATTCTCTCCTGCACAGTACTATTAGATCTCCAACCTTTGAATTTGTTCCTAATTCCTCGTTTTCCACCGCACCCGAGTCCCCACTACACTCAGACTCCAGTCCTAAAAACTCAGCAAAACCTTCCGCTTTCCCTAACAGCAGTCCTTCGTCCCGTTTGTCCGTGGTTTCCTCATCCCTCCAAGACAGCATCCCAAGTGTTGTCACTTCATCATCTCAATTCAAGTCTAAGCAAGATCGAGACACAAGTGAATCTAGTGGGAAACAGGTTTCGCCATTGAAGTCGGATGAGAAATCATCCCAAATCACCACTCCAACCACTGTTCATTCAACACCCCTTTATAGCCCGAACAAATTGAATCAGTCGAGAAATTCACATGAGTCAAGACAGTCTAGGGAAAGGGATGAACGGCCTTGTCACTTGAACGGTCATAGGAATTCTCAAGCGTTAGATAGCTCAAACGTCAAGTTCAAAGTGAAGGTGGAGAAATCTCCCTTTTATTCCTCAGAAATTAACAATGAGGTCTCATCATCTGATAACATCAATCGAATTGCAATCAAGCAAGAAAGAACGGATTGTGATAGTGCATTATCCAACCATGATGCAGAAGAAGACAAGTGTCCTATTCCTCCCAAAGTATCTACTTCAGGAAAAGAACCCTCCTCTGAGTTTGCTTTATGGTCCACACCTGTAAAAACTGATAAAACTGTGATATTTCATGATAATAATTCCTTGATGAGGTCTATTTGGAACTGTGGTGGGGTAAATTTAGATTTCAGTAATGGGAGTGGTGATGAGGAGAGAATTCCATCTGATAGGTATTTCCAGCCCCACTTGCACCCTCACGAAGAACTGCCAAATAGTGACTCAGTCTCAAACCTTAATTCCTCCGCCGAAGACCCGTTCTATTCCGACATCTGTGATCAAATCCTCATGGGCAATAACTGTTATCCTGAAAGTTTAATGCAATTTAGTACTCTTGGTTTTGATAGCGAGAGGAACTTGAGCGAAACCATGAATTTAAACAGCAGTGGTGAATCCTCACAATCTTGCAATCTATGGTCATTCAACGATCACAAGCAACTTCAAAGAAGCACATCGCCATCATCAAGACAGTTCCCATCGCAGAACTATGCTCGCACCGGTGAATATTTATTCAACGAGCATCGTCAAGAAGCTAAAATCATTAGAGGTATGGTGCCTACTGACATTGCTACTCTGCATGCTAAGACAGTTGTGAAAGACTATGAACATTTCATTGACCAGAAAAAATACAGAAACACATATTTCAGCTCAAAAAATAATTATTGCATAGAATATGGGTCGGAAATTCCTCTTCCACCTCCAATTGAAACACAGCAACGCTGTGGATGTTCTGTTTGTAGGAATAATTACCTATACATCGTAGATAATTATCAAAATTTAGCTGACTACCGCAAGTCTCAGCTGAAACATGCTGAAGAAGTGCGTAAACATGCTGAACTTTCCAAAAAAACAGAGAAATCATCGCCTATGTCTGGTGGTTGTACTAGTATTGAAATTGAGAATGAAAAATGTGATGATGTCGAGATGCCAGAGCCCCAAACCCATGTTAGAATAGAATCAGCTCTTCCTTTGAAGAAGCGGTTTATTGCTTCTACCCCTACCACAGCTGTGGTGAGTCCTCCGTCTAGTGTTGCCCTCAGTAAATCTCCATTACCACCCAAGAGACAACCCCTCAAAGTAGAGCCATCTCACAGTTACAGCATGCTCAATCCAGAGCAACCGAGCTGCTCTGGAACTTTCATTAAGACAACAGTTCCTCTGCACTCTCACCGCGAAAGTGCATTTAGGGTGCCCGAGCGCAAGCACGATGAAGATAGGGCCAAACGATCCAATAATTCAAAAAATTTAGGTGGAACTATAACTATTGAGCACGCAATGTCAAAATCAAACTCGTCTACAGTTATTAGAATCCTGCAAAAGGATGACAGTCCTCCTAGTCGACAGGCAGAAAAAAGTAGGGGAGACTCAGAAAGAAGGAAAGACAAAGCGAGTAAAAGTGGGAGGGGAGAGGAGTGTAGTAGTGGGAACAAAAGCTCCTTCTCACAAAAATCAGTTCAAATGAAGACTCCCTCAAGTGCAACGCACAGCCGAAGCGCTGATCTAATGGCTGCAGAAAGCTTAATAAGCTTTGCCCAGAGCCCGTCAAATCATGGGTCATCAAAAAAAGAAAAAGACAAGGATGGTAAAAGTGGGAAAAGGAGTTTAGGTCCCTCCGTTTCTGTTAACAGCGTTCATGTTTCCCAGCCTACTGCAACTACATTGATAGTAAATATTGACAGTGGTTCCAGTAAAAAGCCCACAGCATCAAAGAAAGAGCCAGAGAAAAACAAGAAAGATAGTTCCAAGAGGAAACGAGAAGAAGATGATAACCTGAAAAGTCTCCGCTCTAAAACCAGGAAGCGAAGATAGACTTTGATAAAAGGATCATGTTCTCGTATTAACTAAAAAACCATTGTGCTTGCTGATCCTCCTGATTTTACTGAATCGAGAGAATTACAAGCAACTTCTTTCCCAATAAACCAAGTTGACAATACTTGTCTATTCGCACAATTCTCATACTTACTTTTGGAAAACGGGATTTGGCCAGGGAATATGACCTCATATTTTTCTTACTCCAATTCAGGGTGACTTAGAACAAACCTGGGTACTCACTTGGCTGAAAACGGACTACGACAAATTGCAAATTGCAATTTTCTGTCTTCGTTTAGGTTCTTTAAGAGGTTTTACTCATTTTGTCAGGATTTTGATGCCCTAAACTTTAGTTAAACAAAATCGCAGCCCCTAGGTTTTCGAGAGATTCTTCTTTTATAGTGCTCCACTGTTCTTTAAAGGACAAGTTTTTCCTCTCTAGAACAGACTCTTGTTGTTACTGTGCATTTGCATAGCCGTAGACCATGTTCAGAAAGGGTTATATCTGCATAAGAAAAGCATCCGATTACTCTCTTTCATCTTAGGTTACCCTACATATTCCAAATTTGATTGAAATATTGATTGAAAAAAAGAACAGAAGAGAAATGCAATCAGTCAAAAAAATATTTTTGACTTTTCTTTATCAGAGTAAAGCTTGGTGCAGTTTCTCCTCGCACACAATATTTCACTCATTGAGGAAAAAGAAAAACACTTAAGGAACAAGAGTAAATATATGTTTTGTTGAAATAAGTTCAGACTTGTAGTTATCCATCTAACCGACGAGACAATGCCCGGTGAAAGATGTCGTGTTAGTCTTTTACCTCATTGTTATCCTTATCCGTCATTGGTTTGGTCGCAATTATTTTTAGTTTTACGTAGAAAGAATGTGAATGGCGCAGCTTACGGAATGGAATGAAGAGTAACTTTTTGTATTCGTTTTAAGTTTGTCTCATCATTAGCCTTGCCATAGAGCTTCATGGTGGTATTATCCATTTTAATCATGATCATCTCTATCAAAAGAGATATTCAAATGGGAATTTTTAGAATTCCAACAAATTCTAGAGAAAATAGCAATAAATGTCTCATTATCTCAGTGTCACTATTGAAAGTACCTACTCCTCTAATTTTTAATTAGAGTTTAGATTTATTAATTAATGTACATATAAATGTAAATACGATTTACTGGAAAGATACTTAATGTGCAGTGCCATAATAGGTCTTAAATGGATTCATCCAGCTTTTACAAAATGGATGCGGTGATAGTTCATATTTATGGTCTTATCATCCTGTAAAGAAGTCCAAACGTTGCCTTTTTGATCAAATAATTATTGATTAATTAAAATTAGAAGTATTTTGTCTTGTAGCCCTCTCAAAATTTCTTATCAGCTCTCTGATGAGCTTCCGTAAAATTGAAGTCCATTAATAGACACCTATTTGAGTTGAAAGAATTGCAAGGAAATTATTTAGTTTTGTTTTACCCCAGCCTGGTTAGGAGCTAAGATTGTGAGATGGCAATCATATCAACAGCCAATAATCTCATGGCTGTCCATGATAAGAGTGCAATTTGGGTAGTTTGCTCAACAAAAAACAGTTTTCATGTGGTCAAGTATTAGGTCTGATTGTTTTGGTCAAACAACTGTCTTAGCGTGTGGCTCTCAAACTGTGTATGATTCTGAAGAAAACACAACTTCAAGCAGGAAGAAAGGGATGTCTCTCTAGTTTTTCCTTTTTTCTCCAAATGATTTTTGAAAGTTAAAGTAAAATTTTCTCTCCATCGTTCCGCTTTTTTTCTAATTTCTCACTCTAGATCAGTAGTAAAGGAGCTTAAGAACACTGCAGTAATAATCTTGTGATGAGTACAGTTTTCATTTTTTAAATTCTCTTTTAACTTTTCCAGTTTCTTCATTGCCTCATCGCTTGTACTTGTAATTCTTCTCATCTCAAGTGAATTTTGCGTAAATGCGTTTGTACAGTTCTCTACAGAAGTATTTTAATTGCATCAAAATTTAGAATTTATTTGTTTCCTTACAAGTAAAGTAGTTTTTACGATGCAATTACATCTTATTTTCAATTAAAATTTTAAAAATATTCTTACTAAAATTAGTCCAAGAGTTTATCTCAATTTCATAATTAGTTTTTTGGATAAATTTATTCAACTTTAAATTTTTGGAAAAACGGAGAGCATCCCTCAACTGAAGAACAAAGTAATGAACCAGCGTCTCAATCGGTGAAGTGAATCTTTCCTCACTGGAAGCTCTTGGGATCATCTCAACACAATTTCAAGAAGATTTTTCAGAATGATATTTCTCGTGACTTCTCTTTTTATTATTCCTTTTATTTTCTTAAATCTACATTTTGCACAAGCCAAAAGTTCAGAAAAAAGCCAATATTTCAGAACTTTAACTTTCTTTTTTTATTAATTTGCCTAAATTGCTTCGGCCAAACAAGGTTCAAAGCATGCGTTCAAGCATTCATGGTTCCATAATCTTGCAGAAGGTTTTCGAAAATAACATTTAAATATGTTGTGCCTCTTATGTAAGATTTATTGGCTTGTAATATTTTATAATTATCGGTTGTACATATGTTGAGTTAAATGTACATACTGTCAATTTTTCTCTTATAAAATAGTTTTCAATAGTTCCCTGTAATTTACCCTGTACTTTTTTTTTTACGAAAATTCTTAATAGTTCCCTGTAATTTATCTTTTATTGGCACTATGTTATTTTAAAGACTTTATCATTCAATATCACTATCCATAAAAAAAACATCTATTTAAAATCGATCGACTGAGGTAAGACCATTCTTTCGTAGTTACAAACTTTCCAAAAAAATCATCCGTCTAATGAGCTCTGTCTTAAGAACAGTCATGTTGTAATGAGAAGGAAAATTTCAAATCCCCATGAGTGCACTTTCATTTTTAAATCAGAGGAAGCGTAGAGGCAAGAAAAAAAAGTAGGAGTGAGACATAAGACTTTGGGCTTGGAAATTTCGAAAATCAATGAGGCATTGGTGCTAGAAAACTCTCTAATCAGCCTAATACTTATTTGTAACGTTCGTATACATCCAAAGAAAAGAAAAAAAAGTTAAGATATATTTTATGAACGTCATCTAAGTTCTGTTCTCTCATTTTGTTCCTAGATCTAATTATGCTTTTCAGAATGATTTTCACTAAAGTAGGAATATCATTGGAGTTCCCTTTAATCAATTGAATGCAAGTTCTATGATGATTTACTAATTCTTTTAATGTTTTTGGCTTTCAGATGAAGACATTCCCAATGGCGATGAATTGAAAAGAGAATTGATTCCTCTTGACATTAAGTTTGAGGGTAAGGTGCTCATTTCATCGGTTTTTACATATTATAGGGTGGAAAACTAAAATAGCCCCCCCCCCCCCCCCGTTCTCTTTTATTAGTACACATGCAAGGATTGAAAGTGTTTTGGTGAAGATTGGTAGTCTCAATGCTAAAAAATATGACTCAATCAATACGAAATATTTGGGAGGTAGACAGACAGAGAAAGCCAAGGCTAGCATCCTAACTTTAATTCACTCCTGCTTTCAAATTGAATTTACCATAAAGAATATGCTGGATCCTAGGTCCAACAGGGTTGCCACAGTCAGCTATAATAGGGAAAACTGGAAAATTTCAGGAAAATGACAGAAGTGTATAGGATAAGTTTTTAAAATCCGATTATTTGCTCTCTAGAATGCATTAGACGTTTCAGACAACAAATATTGCATTGACCATTCTGCATATTGTCAAATGTCAGGGAATCCCACCAAAATTTTTCAGGAAAATCGGGGAGTTTCATTTTCTAATTACTGCAACAAAGGTGGTCCAAGAGAAGTCTTTTTATTCTCTTTTCTTCTCTATCAGTACCTTTTTTATGGTTGCATTAATTTTCTTTTGAATTTTAATTAGATAAGGGCTTGGTCTAGGCTTATAAACAGTTGAACTAAATCAATATTCTAGGTGCCTAGGCATAGGAAAAACCCAGTGTAAGGGGAAGGGAAACCTCCTTATTTCTAGATGACAGCGAGAGGAAATAAACTGTTTCATATTTTAATGCTTTTCATAATCCTCTCGTTTTTTAAAGCCTTTTTCTTTGCTAGTATTATTTTCCTTGTTCCAAGCTCTTCAAGGTTGTTGAAGTTGTCTTTTGCCAGCCATTGAGTGAACCTCTTTTTTTTTTATTTTTCAGTTTCAAGCATGAAACGGTCACATGACTGCGTCGATGATTGGATCAATTCGCTTTGGGGAAGCAGCAGCTGTAGTGAAGAAGAAGAAGACTCCTTCAGTGGTAAGTTTGCTTTATTTTCTGTTATATTTCTGAAATCAATATCGTTCCTTGAAGTTTTCACAGAGTTTTCTTTGCAGAGAAAGGAAAAATCTCAGAATTTTCCAAGAATTGCCTCAGAGTAGTTTCCCATATAAAATATAAAAAGGGCTGTGCGAATCTGGTTTTTTTATGTTGAATCGAATATTTTTAGTTTTTACCTATTTTTGACCAATACCAACCTCTGTGTTGGTCGAAGTAAAAATTGAATAAATAATTTTTTTCTTTCTAACTTTCAAATTTTGATTAAAGAAATTACTATTATGGATAAAAAGATCAAGAATTAATCAATTCATTTAATTATCAAATGGTTTTGCGAACATTTTGATTTGCTGGGGAAAGAAGAGAAGGGAGAGAAAATTGTTTCCTTTTAGGACGAGCAATTGAGTGAACTGTCGTGGAACTGTAAAACGTCTTACTGTCCGAAAATTCGTTTTATTCAGTTTTACTCCACATCTGAATGCTGATCTTGTAAAGACAGTCTAGCAACATTGTAAAGACCGGGGTGCCGTGCGGGGCGGAGAACGATAGGTTATGGTACATTCGCCTTTGTACGCCATGTTGATGACGTATTAGGTGGAACTCAAGTGGCATGAATTTTGAATTGATCCATCTTAAGCGAGTGCCGTGTGCTGGATGAACCAATGAAATGTTGGCCTTTGTTTACCTAACCTCAAAACAAGTAGTTTGAACTGCGCGCCATATCAAGTTCTTACTATTACATTATTAATATGGCCGGATGTACGAAAATTCGGTCTTTTTTGTTGGATACTCGAAGCTTAGTCAATGTTGTCGAATAATTCGATTATTCGGGGTTTCTAGATTCGAGTTCGAATTGAATATCGAAAAAATTATTTGAACTCGAATATTCGAGATTTTTGATTATTCGCAAAGCCCTAAATATGAAGTATGACAAGAAGTCTGTAACGTCGTAAACCAAGATACGTTGTCCAGTATTTTCACCATCGTATTGTCCATGAACGAAAATATTGTCAAGTGAAGGAATTGTGGGTTAGTTACTTAGTACTATTAACTATCTTGTTCGTATCAACTATTCTCAATAGGAAATTAGGAAAACTTCAAGTAGGGCTTACAAATGAAAAGATTTATTTGTACAGAAGGCCTTGTCTTCTTTGAAACTCATTGCTTTGAATTAAGAATTTACTGGTCTCTAATGGAGAATTTAATTTAATTTATTCAATTTTCATAGTATAAGATTTCAACTCTAATTTAAAATTTAATGGTCTCTTGAAATGAGTGAGTTTTACTTTTAATTTTCAGAGTCAGAAAACAAGGCTGTGATGACAGAACAAGTTGGTGTTCTAGAAAAAATTCAAAATGGTCTTTCAAAGAGCAATGGTAAATTTTCTTCCAACAGCAAAAGTAACTCAAGTAGTAAAAACAAAAGATGGAACAAACAAATCATCACATGCGTTGAAAAGAAGCGCCCAATACCTCGTACTAGAAAACGTTCAAAACAGTATTAAATTTTTCTGCTTAATGTGCTTTGTAAGTATTAAATAATTTTTAATTTACTTTATTTATACACCTAGGAATAATCTTCCACTGACACTGATTTATGATAACGTGGGTTCTACTGAAAAAGTTAATTACCTCTTGAACACAATGTGTATATTCTGAATCAAACCTTATCGTAACATCGGCAGTTTATGTTGTGTTTGCCTTGTTTTCCATGTTTTGCTCTGCTATATTTTTCACATTTATGTACCAATTCACCATTATTTTTTGATGGTACACTATAGCCTTATAGGATGTTTCTTGTCGTGGGGTTTAAGAAATCTCGTCAGCACTGCCTTCAATAACATTCTAAGTACTGGGTCTGTTGTTTGCAATAGATAAAGCCAAGTGAACAACGCAGATTTTGCACTATGGAGTGAGATCAGGCTAGAGTTCTGTCGTTCATGATCTGACTTGTTCATATGAACGAATACAGAAAATGAACGAGTCACGCATTCGGATCACGCCAAATAATCCGACACATTGTGATCCGTCAAGCGCTGCGTCTTGTCTGAATACCTGCGCAGACAATTTTTATTTTAAATGTACAACAAAATATCATAGAAATTAGCTGAGAAATGGGAGCACTCACTGAGAGTCATCATGACTAAAATCAACCGGATCTTAGGAAACGATCGCATGATTTGACACGATTTAGCCAGTCATAACCTCATAACAACCCAGCTCGTTCACATGACCGAGATGATCTGTAAACCCTTATTGTTCGTTCATCGTGATCGGTCTTGTTCCATGGCTCATTTGATCCAAAAACTAATATTCATTCATCGTGAATATTTTGATTCTTCTCGTTCTACGGCTCCCGTTCTATGGTTCATGCCCATGATCTAACTGATCTTTTGTTTGGCCCTTAGTCGTAACTCCAAAACAGAGTTGAACTACTTTGCTATTTTGAAATTGCTGCGATCTTCTGGTATTAATTACATACAAAAAGAGAGAGACTGAAGACTGACAGTGAGTAATATTTAGATGCATGCAATTTGAGAAATGGGATCTAAGATAATTCGATTCATGTCGATCGAATAGTATACCTACCCATCGGATTTTTCGCATCATTTCAAGATTTTTTTTCAAAGATCCAAAAACTTGATTTTTGACTAAAATTTTCGGTGGAGCTTTGATTTACAAAAATATATTTAAGCAAAGGAGACATCAATTAACGTTCCAGTTAATGTGCTGGAAGAGATGCAATTTCACTTTTTGATAGAAAAATCAGTAGCCTATAATATTAAGGAACAGAAAATATTGATCTTTCTCGGAATTAATCTTAATTTCTGACTGACTCTTAAAATTTAAAGTGAAAAAGAAACAAGATAAATTATGAAAATGAGTAACATCCATGGTAATTGATTATTTTAACTATAGAAATCTCAAGAGACTCTTAAATGAGGCATTGGCTAGTTTTCTATTTATTTGCGAGAGCAAATACATACGCTATCACTGGGCAATAGAAAAATTACCAACAAAGGAGGTTAAAGAAATGAGAAGTGAAGATTGCCATGGCATTTGATACTAATTCTAAATAACTACAGCGTACTTAAATTTTTAATAAAAAAGAAACGTGAAAAGTCAGGAAAATAATTAACCATAGTAAGTAATTGATATATGACTAACTATAGATGTTCCAAGAGACTCTTGAATTAGGCATCAGTTGATGTTCTTCCAATGTACATGCTAAATCAAGTACACAATCACCAGGCGATTGAAAAATCTCCGACAAAAGAGGCCAAAGAACGAGAAATGAAAATTGCCTGTGTCTTGGAAGTTAAGTATTCGCTTAAGTATTCTCTACAATAGAAAAGTCAGCACCGGAAGCGGACAGAGAAAGAATATTATTGATTGTCTGTGTCTAAGTATTAATTTCAAGTATTCAGTAGACTCTTAAAGCTTTTTATTTTAAAAATGAAAAATGTAAATAGAAAGAAACAAGGAACTAGAGTTACAATGTCAGAAAAAATAAATTATGTACATGGTAGGTAATTTAGATACCTAAACAAAGTTCAAGCTTATGAGGTTACTTAGGTACTTAGTTTTTTTTTTCTTAAAATAATTTAATCATGGAGAAAAAAGAAGAAGGGGAGAATAGAGGCATCACACGATTATCTACAGAAATGTATCACTCTTGCAGGATAACAATTAAGTCTCTATTCAATGAAAACAAAACCAGCCAGTGGGCATTATACAAAAGTTTGGACCTACCAATTAACTTTGAGGAAAATGAGCATTGCTACTTTGGAGGGTTTTAGGCAGTTTCTTCGCTGTGTGATCGTAAGTCCACATTTAGAGAAAATCGTCTCGCTCGGCACAGATGTTGCTGGAATGCATAACCTTCCTCTTGTCAATTGACGGTTTTTTCTCCACCACTTCAGTGGGCTCTCATCTCTTCGTAAGTTATCAGCACTCAAAAACTTATGCAGTTCGATGATGTGAGCTTCGGGTCTTGTCTGCGCCATAACTTTTTCTTCAACTTTCTCGTCAAATGGCTCGAACAGTTTTGAGGGTTTTCGATTGGAAGGTCGTAAGTTTTTCTCTGACGTTGTCGACTGTGGGTCTGTTCCTGAAACTTGTGGATGCGGAATCGCTTTCAATTTATTTTGTACTCTTGTTATCGTCTCCTCATACAGATAATTTACATTGAATCCATCTTTTTTGAATCGAGGATCCAGAAGCATAGATTCATTATACAAATCTTTCGTAGTAGAAACACCAAACCTATCTTTAATGCCATCTGACAAGTCTTTTACCATGTTCCTAACTGTTTCCGGCAACTCTTCACTATTGTAGAGCCTAGCTAATTGTGCTCGTAGCCCATTAAGCATCAGGTTCAATTCAAATAATGTTACTCTCTGCTCACTGCCCGTGTGTTGACTAATTTCATCAAATATCTCTAAAGATTCACAAGCATTTTCTAAAATTTTCCATTCTTCATCTGTTGGTAATTCTATGGTAATATTTAGTAGCGCTACACAGGCAGTGACTGCATCCTTGATTTTCAAAATTCTTCGGAACATGTCTCACTCTGAGTTCCACCTTGTTTTCACAGATTGCTTAAGCTTCAACTTAGGAAGCCCCATTTGCTCGGATAGTTGTAACAGCTTTGCCTCTGCTATTGGACTTAGCTTCAAGTGTCTGACAATATTTTTTACTTTCTTTTTTGTTGGCGTAATGTTATCTTTGATGGCAGCTCTCACAATTAAATCAAGGGTATGATCAGTGCATGGTACCCACTTCCACTGACCTCTTTCAATGGCTGCTTTGATGTTAGCGCCATTGTCAGTCGTTGCAGATATCACCTTCAGCTTTAGGCCCCACGTGGTCAGCACTTCAATACTACTTTTGATATTATCAGCAGTATTTCTTTCATTAATAGGTATGCAACCGAGCAAAACCGATTTCAATTCAATTTCTTCTGTGATGAATTGGGCTGTAATAGACAAATAACTTTGATTGCTAGCAGATGTCCAGCCATCGGACGTTATGGTAATGGTTTGGTCTTGCAACTCTTTCTGCGTTTTGGCTCTACATTCTTTGTAATACTGAGGCACAACATTTGAAGAGATGGTCTTTGGAGTGGGCAAGCTATAATTGGGGTTAAGCATGGCACAAAACTTACGAAATTCTGGCTCGTCCACCACACTGAATGGGTGAAAACCTTTGACAATCATCTTCGTCAGCTGTTCGTCCAATTTCTGTTTTTTTGTCAAGAATAAGGGAGTTCTAACAAACGCAGACATCCTGGGCTGAGACGATCCTTGTATATTTTGAGAAGCCGCAGTCTGATTTTGCTCTGATGCTGCTTGAAAAGTCGCAGGCGTATCTTGGGCATTGTCAGTTTGATTTTCGACCGGCAACCGTGGAGGTGCTTGACAGCTATCACCTTGCACCTCAACAATATCCATTTCCTCATCTTCAAAGGTTATAGGGGGCTGTCTTTTGGTCTGAATAGTTGGATGCTTTAATTTTGAATGTCTGGTCATATTGCTAGTAGAACCAGCTCTATACAAAAATTGATTTCTGCAATGATTGCACCTCGCCCTTTGGTTCTCTACAGTCACGGTAAAAGTATCCCAAACGGGGCTTGAATGTCTGCGATTATGCAGACCTCGTACCATGATGAGAAAGAATCAACTATTCATAGATAAGTGAGTACACTGTCACACCGTTCAAGAAAGAATTAACTGGCTAAACACTCATATATTAAACGAAAAATTCATAATCGCAAGTATCACAACACATGTTCGAACTTCTATCTCGGTTTGTTTGTTTTGTTTTTGTCAACCAACCTCCGATTATACCCACAGTAGCACCAACTGTAGTTGGCAATGGTTATCATTAGTTTCTTGAGTGATAAAACGGTTTGAAGAACATGACTGAAAATTCTATCTTTTTTATTCGTAATTCAACTCCAAAAAAGTATTTTGCTTTTTTTAGTCGTGCGGCGAAGCCGTATAGACTCTAGGTTTCGCCGGAGGCTAAAAAGTGTCCACACTTTTAGGCTAAGTCCAAGAGGAGAATTTTCGAGGAACCAAGTAACATATGAGGTATTGATATCGGTGCATTTTGGCCCAATGGAGATGTTACATGTGCGAGGAATTCGCAATTTAACTGTTGATTCTTGTATAAAAGTTCGCGAGGAACACAATGGTGCCACTGGTTTTCTCTGAAATCATCTCCCAAGCTCAAAAAAAGCTCTCAAGTTGAGGCCAAAATGGAGGGGATATCCCACCTTACCCTGAGAGTCCACGTCTACATGAAGACTAACTTTCCATGCAAAGATAGGGAGCAAATACATTAGCAGGGTTGCCGTGTTTTCGGTTTTGGAGTCCCCAGATAAATTGGTAGCCCTGTCAATGTATTAGCTCCCTATCTTTGCATGGAGAGTTGGTCTTGATCTAGACTTGGACTCTCAGGGTAGGGTGGGATATTCCCTCCATTTTGGCCTTAACTTGAGTGCTTTTTTTTGAGCTTGGGAGATGATTTCAGAGAAAACCAGTGGCACCATCAGGTTTCTCGTGACCTTTTACCCAAGATTCAACAGTCAAATCGCAAATTCCTCACACATGCAACATCTCCAT